CTTTTCCTTCACTCTGCGGTCTAACTCATTTGGTTTGAGGTCGGGTGATTGTGGAGGTCAGGTCATCTGATGTAGCACTCCATCACTTTCCTTCTTGGTCAAATAGCCCTTACACAGCCTGGAGGTGTGTTTTGGGTCATTGTCCTGTTGAAAAACAAATTATAGTCCCACTAAGCCCAAACCAGATGGGATGGCATATAGCTGCAGAATGCTGTGGTAGCCATGCTGGTTAAGTGTGCCTTGAATTCTAAATAAATCCCAGACAGTGTCACCAGCAAAGCACCCCCACACCGTCACACCTCCTCCTCCATGCTTCACGGTGGGCACCATACATGCGGAGATCGTCCGTTCACTTACTCTGCACCTCACAAAGACAGGGCGTTTGGAACCGAAAATCTCAAATTTGGACTCATCAGACCAAAGGACAGATTTCCACTGGTATAATTTCAATTTCTCGTGTTTCTTGGCCCAAGCAAGTCTCTTCTTATTATTGGTGTCCTTTAGTAGTGGTTTCTTTGCAGCAATTCGACCATGAAGGCCTGATTCCCGCAGTCTCCTCTGAACAGTTGATGTTGAGATGTGTCTGTTACTTGAACTCTGTGAAGCATTTTTTTGGGCTGCAATCTGAGGTGCAGTTAACTTTAATAAATGTATCCTCTGCAGCAGAGGTAACTCTGGGTCTTCCTTTCCTGTGGCGGTCCTCATGAGAGCCAGTTTCATCATAGCGCTTGATGGTTTTTGCGACTGCACTTGAAGAAACTTTCAAAGTTCTTGAAATTTTCCATATTGACTGACCTTCATGTCTTAAAGCAATGATTGACTGTCGTTCCGCTTTGCTTATTTGAGCTGTTCTTGCCATAATATGGACTTGGTCTTTTACCAAATAGAGCTATCTTCTGTATACCACCCCTACCTTGTCACAACAGAACTGATTGGCTCAAACACATTAAGAAGGAAAGAAATTCCCTAAATTAACTTTTAAGAAGGCACACCTGTTATTTGAAATGCATTCCATGTGATTACCTCATGAAGCTGGTTGAGAGAATGCCAAGAGTGTGCAAAGCAGTCATCAAGGCAAAGGGTGGCTACTTTGAAGAATCTCAAATAGAAAATCTATTTTGATTTGTTTAACACTTTTTTGGTTACTACATGAGTCCATATGTGTTGTTTTATAGTTTTGATATCTTCACTATTATTCTACAATGTAGAAAATAGTCAAAATAAAGAAAAACCCTAGAATGAGTAGGTGTGTCCAAACTTTTGACTGGTACTGTAGCTAGATACAGACAAAAAAAAAGGTTATACTGTTCACACATTAGCCAGCTTTTGCCATTCTTTTAAAAAGTTGTTATGGTTGGTATGGCTTTCGGTTGCTGTGTTAGTTTGTTCCACTCAACAGCGCCAGTATATTAAAATGTGTTCTTACCAGATAGACTCTTATAAATAAAACAGTGAATATTAGAGTTTCTAGTATTATGCTGGTGGACAGCTCTAACAAATGAAAAATACACTGAAGAAAAATATAAACGCAACATGTAAAGTGTTGGTCCCATGTTTCATGAGCTGAAATATAAGATCCCAGAGATTTTGCATATGCACAAAACCTTATTTCTCTAAAATGTTGCACACAAATTTGTTTACATCCCTGTTAGTGAGCATTTCTCCTTTGCCAAGATAATCCATCCACCTGACAGGTGTGGCATATCAAGAAGCTGATTATACAGCATGAACATTACACAGGTGCACCTTGTGCTGAGGACAATAAAAGGCCACTTTAAAATGTGCAGTTTTGTCACACAACACAATGCCACAGATGTCTCAAGTTTTGAGGGTGCATGCAATTGGCATGCTAACTGCAGCAATGTCCACCAGAGCTATTGCCAGAAAATGGAATGTTCATTTCTCTACCATAAGCCGCCTCCATCGTCATTTTAAAGAATTTGGCAGTAAGTCCAACCGGCCTTACAACCACAAACCACGTGTATGGAGTCATGTGGGCGAGTAGTTTGCTGATGTCAACATTGTGAACAGAGTGCCCCATGATGGAGTTGGGGTTATGGTATGGGCAGGCATAAGCTACGGACAACGAACACAATTGCAATTTGAATGCACAGCGATACCGTGATGAGATCCTGAGGCCCATTGTCGTGCCATTCATCCGCCACCATCACCTCATGTTTCAGCATGATAATGCACGGCCCCATGTCACAAGGATCTGTACACAATTCATGTAAGCTGAAAATGTTCCAGTTCTTCCATGGCCTGCATATTCACCAGACATGTCACCCATTGAGCATGTTTGGGATGCTCTGGATCAACGACTTCGTGTTCCATTTCCCGCCAATATCGCACAGCCATTGAAGAGGAGTGAGACAACATTCCACAGGCCACAATCAACAGCCTGATCGACTCTATGTGAAGGAGATGTGTCGCGCTGCATGAGGGAAATGGTGGTCACACCAGATACTGACTTGTTTTCTGATCCACGCCCCTACCTTTTTTTAAAGGTATCTGTGACCAACAGACCTAATTTATTTATTTCAATTGACTGATTTCCTTCTATGAACTGTAACTCAGTAAAATCTTTGAAATTGTTGCATGTTGCGTTTATATTTTTGTTCAGTAAAATTGGATAGGTAGCTAAGGGCTGAGTCCATGATAATTCTGTGGACCAGACCAAGTTCAATTAATACGACTCTTTTTTCCACAGATAGCCAGCCTAGCTGCTTAAAATGTTCGACCAGCAGATGAGTGTGAGGGGGGAGTTTAAGTACAATTCTTACAAGCTGGTTTTGGCTGGTCTGTAGCCTATACTTGAGATGTTTGGGGCTGCTGGTGAACCATGATGTGCAGGCATAATCAAAGTGACACTGGACTAGAGCACTTGCCAGAGTCTTTAGGGTGTCTATAGCTAGGTTTCCATCCAATGGTGACAGATTTTCATGCGAATATTCTAAAATCTGCATAAAGATAATATGCACATTTTCCCATGAGAGTTGTGTTTCCATCAAATGACTTGTTGCGGACAAAAGTCTGTGCGTAAATAAGTAGTGCACATAAAAATAACTTTTGCAATTAAATTCCCATGTACTGAATAAAAAATACAAGTTAAATGGGTTTCCATCACATTTTCAACTCTAGGTTTGAACTGATGGTTTTGTCACAAAAAATGTTGTGTAGGTATAGCAAATGTGCCCATTCTGGTATTGGCGCGCTCGAGCCAACTGCTCGCAGATACAGTGTGGGTATAACCTACATGATGAGATTATTATGGACACTTTTGTCCATAATAATCTCATCATGGTCACTTTTGTCCATAATAATCTCATCATGTAGGTTAAACCCACACTGTATCTGCAAGATAATTGTTATTTGTCAAACGGCAGCCAAGCATCGATCATGTGGTCCTCTGTAGCTCAGCTGGTAGAGCACGGCGCTTGTAACGCCAAGGTAGTGGGTTCGATCCCCGGGACCACCCATACACACACAAAAAAAAAATGTATGCACGCATGACTGTAAGTCGCTTTGGATAAAAGTGTCTGTTAAATGGCATATTAATATTAATTAATCATCATGTCAGCAGAATAAGACCCTCGATATTTATTGAAAGGAGCATCAAGCTCATTACCGTGCACTTTCACCACCCTGTGAAGTTCATCATAATTTATTTAATCTAGCCTAATAAACTGCATGCTTTCCCATGATGTTGTGACATTTTATATCCAACATGTACTTTCCTCGCATAAAAAGGTTGGATGGAACCCTGGTTAATGTCAAGCCATTTTGAGGATGCTGGAATTATATTTTGGACAAATGTGCGCAGACTTTTGATACATTTAAAAAGTTAAATGACAAATATTTTTGCTATATTGAAGCGTTAGCATCTAGATGCGCGAGGAATAGCCACTCGGATTGGAGAGGAGGCAGAGCGCATCTCAGTATCAGAAGTAAAAACACTGCTAGACTGGCCTGGCACTGTGCCTTTCTAGACCTTATAAACTTTCGAGAGTAGACCCACAACTGATCCAAATGGAATGAAACAATCACAAATCACAGGGCTTTTGCGTCGTTATTCATGACATTTTCACTGCAGCCTAGAGTAGAATTTTGTACTCCTTTGAAAATAATAATGCAATTATTCATTGCATTGTGGTGTTGTAGGCTAGTCTAGGTAGGATAATTGTATTGTCCCTAAACAAGATATTATAGGGGAGCTTTTTGAGCTGCGTGTCTAATGTCTTCACTGTTCTTTCATGCGCAATGATGCACCTGGCCTTTCCGCTGCCTATCAGCTATTCCTATTTGTTATTGTGGATTCATATTGAAAATGTATGCAGCTTTGAATGCTTTTATGTGGTATGATTGCTAGTTAGCCTATTGCAGATCTGGACAAACGATCCACCTACCACTATTGTCACTATGAATGGTGGATAGAGGGCAGGATAGACAGTTAGACTGGTAGACTATATTGACCTGTGGTATAGTGAAAGTTAGCAGGAGGAAAAGCGTGGTGCATAAGGGAAGTACCAAAACAGCTTGATATAGGGGAGGCACATGCAAGCAGATGATGAAATTTGGCTAGGATGCAACAAATGATATAGTAAAACCTGCAAAAGAGTGAACGTAAACCAGGGAAAAAATACAATACCCTCCCGTGCCAATTATAAACCAACCCTCCCCCGCAGTAAATGTCGACCTGTCCCTAATTTGTAAATGAGCTTCAAATCACCTATCATAACCCAAACACATTAATCCTGTTTATGTTTTTGTTGTCATAAACAAACAATCCATCTCATGTAGAGAAACGTGTGTGTTTTTAGTAGCCAACTGTGTTTAAATCAAAGATTAATTCAAGAGAGAGAACTTCGAAGAAGGAAAAGAGTGTCTGGTTTACAAGTATTCTAACGCTGCCCGAATTGGAAATCACCAGTGTCTAAACCATTGTTTAACCCGGATGTGAATCCTACTGTGTAGTGTACCGGATGTTCTTTCATTTTAGCTGAGAAACGAAAATGGGCATGCTAATTGTTAGCCCCGTGAAAGAGTGTGAAATTATCCACAATAACTGTGTTTTCTGATCTTGAAGGAGCTAAGCATTCAACCAAAAACGTTAAGTAAGTAATTACCTATGGTCTTTCAAGTTTAATTATTTTGAATCCAGGCATTAACTCAAGGTAACGTAGCTAAGGTAAGCATCAATAGCTACTTTGCTAAAGTTAGGCAACTAGCATAAGCGACCTAGTCCTTGTTAGCTAACTAGCTTTTTTGAACAAACTAGTTAGTTACCGGTGGTGTCTTATTTTATGGTGACCAACCGTTTTTGTTGCATTTTGTTGTGTGTAAATGAAATGTTTAGCTAACTAACTAGTTTATCTAAATTGAAACTAGTTGACGTAGTTAACGTTAGCTAGCTACGTTTTCACAATAACAAGCTGCTTATTTGTAGCTAGGTGGCTAGCCAGTTAGCTGGGTGGTTTAGTCAGCTAGCTAAGGTTAGCTAGTCATTTAGGGTTAGCGACAGTCGTCAATGTCATCATGTAGGTAACGTTAGCTAGTCAGTACTTTAACGTTAGCTAGCTGGTCATTACTGTCTACAACAAAGTACGTTAGCTTTCTGACTGTTGTGATTAGTGAACTGTAGCTTAGCTGATGAACGCCTCAATTTAGTTAGTTCTCTTCGAGGCGGAGTTGAGTATTGATAACTTTAGCTAACAACATTGAGTCACCATCAGTCGATACTTGTAAAAATGTAAATTCTGAAAACGCTTACATGTACATATGTTTGTCCTGTACAACTGCAGTCCTCCGGCGGGGTGCTGACATTCATACTTTTAATAAAAACTTTGATCGAATACAACAATGGTTCCCAACCTTTTTCGCTTACTGTACCATCAAGTACAGTTTGCTCTGCCCAGAGTACCCTTTAAGTGTGCGTTTTACCAATAAGCCTATGGTCTCATGAGTCTTAAGTACCCCCAGGGGTACTAGACAAACACTGGAATACAACCATTGATTCTTTCCTAATTTGTCTTGCTCAACTAGAGACGTAGCGGCCTTGACTCACGTACTACATAAACTGATATTCAATTGGCAAAAGCGCATTCCAGGACAAATTCGGTGGTTGCGTTCGATAAAAGTTATTAAAAGTATGAATTTCAGCACCCCGCCGAAGGACTGTAGTTGTACAGGACAAACATAGGTAAAGGTAAGAGTTTTCCAGTCAGACATTCCTACGTGTCACTTTGCGTTTATGAAAATATAAATTTCGTAAGGATGTGGTTGCCTAAGCCTACTGGTGATGTGAACCACTTCTCCAGTCGTAATTTAATATCTGATTTTCTGCGCTGTGCAAGACGAAATGTAGGCCAATTTCATAGGCCTATGTCAACCAATCATATTTCTCTAATCCTTTCGGGCTAAATTCGGAGAGGATAGTTAGGTCTAACTACTTACACAAACCGTGCTTCTAATGAAGAGCTACAGCCATATTAGACTGAAATGTATAAGGTAATTTCGTCAAACGTGTGAGGCTCTCCATGCTCATTAGTTGCTTATTCAACATATTTGAAGCTACTTCACTCAGTCCCGTTTTAATATTCTCCTTTCCGAACCGTTTTACATTCCCTGAGACCAACCAGAAATGTTTCTTTGGCCAAATATTCCCAGATTTTCTTAAAACAGCCACGCTGTTTTGCGCTAGGCCAAAGAGTAGGCTAGGTGAGCTTCAATTGCTCGTTCAGTGCAGCAGACTGCAGGGGTGTAGTGCTTCCGAAACGCACCACTTCTCACTATGGTGCTGGTTTAGTAAAGCTGAATTAGTCTTGGAGGATAACATAATGATTAATTAGTATTCTACATAACATAACCAAATATTATACCATAGAATAACATTATTGTTACACCAAAAACACCACCTCATGTGGACAAAACTCAACAGTGCCGGCTACTAGGCAGACTGTTAATTGATTGCAACAAACTAATGGAAGCCTATATAGTTTAACACCATCTGCTCTAATGTACTCACGAAACAGCAATTCAAGATGATCTAAATCCATATTCCCATGAAACTGATTGAGATCAAATGATTAGCATGCAGACACAGTTTTGACATTTCACTGGTAAAACCTGAAGAATTATCATTCACGATTGACAGTGATCATACCATGGTCTATTTTGAAATTAGGTATGCCTAACTTGGTGTTTGAAGGTAGCCTATTAAAAATATAAATTCTGTGCATATGCAGGCGTTGCAATTGAAGGATGCATTTTTATGCATATTGTATAATTATATTCAATAAGCTACATTTGTCGGTACAAACTTTGAGAAATTATGATGAAGTCATTAAATGTTTTAATGCTCCCTGGCACCTAAAAAGTTAGCACTACACATTGGGGGGGGGGGGGGGGGGGTTTAGTCATTTTAGCAGACGCTCTTATCCAGAGCGACTTGCAGTTAGTGAGTGCATACATCATTTTTTTTATTTTTCATACTGGCCCCCCGTGGGAAATTTTAAATGTTGTCACCCTAGTGAATAGTGTTTTGTCCCTCCTTTTTTTGTAGGAAAGCATTGGAAGTATTCAGACGCGACACAGAAGTTGTTGGGATCGTCCACCCCTAACACAGTGATGACCTCACAGCAGCATCCCCTCCCCAATGCAAACGTCAACCCTCCTCTCCTCGTCCCCCAGAACTCGTCAGCTCACCAGGGTAGGCCTCACATTCATCCAAACCAGCTGGACTCTACTCAGAGTAGTGCTGCGGGGCACCTTGCCCCCCACAGAGGTCTGATGGGTGGTGTGGGGTCCTCGTCGGTGGGGACCTCCAGCGGAGTGGCAGTGAATAGGGGCACGTTGGCCTCCTGCACTAACTCTGCCTCCTCAAGGAGGCTCTCGTCGGGACGCTTCGAACCCTGGCCCGAGGAGGCCGTAGACAATGCTTACGGCTTGTACTCGCTGCACCGCATGTTCGACATAGTGGGAGCCCAGCTCACGCACCGCGACGTGCGAGTGCTCTCATTCCTGTTCGTGGACGTCATCGACGAGTATGAGCGTGGAGGCATCAGGAGTGGCCGGGACTTCCTGCTGGCTCTGGAGCGCCAGGGGCGATGTGATGAGACCAACTTCAGACACGTCCTGCAGCTGCTCCGCATCATCACACGGCATGACCTGCTCCCCTACGTCACACTCAGGAAGAGACAGACCGGTGAGTGGTGGTTTCCTTATCAGCCTTTGCCTTTTTCAGACCCCCTGAAAATGTATTACAAATGAAAGAGCAAACGAAATGTAATGGTGTCAAGACAGAGAAACTTAGATTGCCAATCTGCAAAATGTTATGTTGTCAATCTCCTAAATGTTATTCCGAATCGCCATCATCTTGAAAACACACTTTCTAGTCCCTTAGTTAATAATTGACAGTTTACATTAAATTGAAATATTAAGTCACTAACCAAAAGCATTCATGTGCTTTGCTTTTCAGTGTGCCCAGACCCAGTGGATAAGTACCTGGAAGAGACATCGGTGCGTTATGTGTCCCCTAGAGGAGGAGAGAGCAGGGAAGCTGCACCCCACAGAAGGACAGGTGAGTCTGTGGCTCTGCATGTACACAGCTACATACTTTTGTATATATAGTGTATGTGGACACCCCTTCAAATTAGTGGATTCTGCTATTTCAGCCACACCCGTTGCTGACAGGTGCATAAAATCGAGCACACAGCCATGCAATCGCCATAGACAAACATTAGCAGTAGAATGGCCTTACTGAAGAGCTTAGTGACTTTCAACGTGGCACCGTCATTGGATGCCACCTTTCCAACAAGTCAGTTCGTCAAATTTCTGCCCAGCTAGTGCATCCCCGGTCAAGTGCGGTTATTGTGATGTGGAAACGTCCAGGAGCAACAACGGCTCAGCCGCGAAGTGGTAGGCCACACAAGCTCACAGAACGCGTAAAAATCGTCTAGCTTCTGTTGGAATACAGTGCCTCTGGAAGCAACGTCATGAAATGGGTTTCCATGGCCGAACAGCCGCACACAAGCCTAAGAACACCATGCGCAATGCCGTCGGCTGGAATGGTGGCTCGCCGCCATTGGACTCTGGAGCAGTGGAAACGCGTTCTCTGGAGTGACGCTTCACCATCTGGCATTCCGACGGACAAATCTGGGTTTGGCGGATGCCGGGAGAACGCTACCTGCCTCAATGCATAGTGCCAACTGTACAGTTTGGTGGAGGAGGAATAATGGTCTGGGGATGTTTTTCATGGTTCGGGCAAGGCCCCTTAGTTCCAGTGAAGGGAAATCTTAACGCTACAGCATACAATGACATTCTAGATGATTCTGTGCTTCCAACTTTGTGGCAACAGTTTGGGGAAGGCCCTTTCTGGTTTCAGAATGACAGTGCCCCCGTGCACAAAGCGAGGTCCATACAGAAATGGTTTGTTGAGATCGGTGTGGAAGAACTTGACTGGCCTGCACAGAACCCTGACCTCAACCCCATAGAACACCTTTGGGATGAATTGGAACACCAACTGCGAGCCAGGCCTAATCGCCCAACATCAGTGCACGACCTCACTAATGCTCTTGTTGCTGAATGGAAGCAAGTCCCCGCAGCAATGTTCCAACATCTAATGGAAAGCCTTCCCATAAGAGTGGAGGCTGTTACAACAGCAAAGGGGGGACCAACTCCATATTAATGCCCATGATTTTGGAATGAGATGTTCGACGAGCAGGTGTCCACATACTTTTGGTGATGCAGTGTATGTGTGTGTGTTGGGGGAATTAATAGAGTGACATAAATACATCTGTAAATGTCTTTGCACTCCCCACCCACTCCACTAACAGGCCCCCAGCCAGTGATCTGCTGTTCTCCATCGGGGAACCAGGTGGGCCCTTCCCGCACCAAGCCAGGCCCCCCATTACCCAGCCGCAAAAGAAAGAGGGCCTACGCCACAGGGGACTGCAGGGAGAAGCAAACCTGTGGTAAGGGCATTTTGAGTGTTTATCATGAAAGCACTAAAAAAATAATTCTAAATTAACTTTATGCTGTCAGAGGTTGTATCTGCTTTTCGACAGTTATTTAATGACAATGAATGACAAAGGAGTTGGCTAAAGCACATGCATCTGCATCCAAATTATACAGACGCTGATTAAAAATTAAAGATTGTGGCATGATTCATTGACAGTATAATTTCCATGGCAATGGACGGCACACCTCTTCCTCTGTGTCACTACTCCCCTTGCTCTTCCCTATTCACCCCACACCCCGGCAGACATCCGCCTACGAGTGCGCGCTGAGTACTGCCAGCATGAATCAGCGCTTCAGGGAAACGTTTTCTCCAACAAGCAGGAGGCTCTGGAGAGGCAGTTTGAGCGGTTCAACCAGGCAAACACTATCCTCAAGTCCCGGGACCTGGGCTCCATCATCTGCGACATCAAGTTTTCGGAGCTCACCTACCTAGATGCTTTCTGGCGGGACTACATCAACGGCTCCCTGCTGGAGGCCCTGAAGGGCGTCTTCATCACAGACTCACTCAAACAGGCGGTGGGCCATGAGGCCATTAAACTGCTGGTCAATGTGGATGAGGAGGACTATCAGGCCGGCCGCCGCAAGCTGCTCCGGAACCTAGTCACAGGATTGGGGGCAGGGTCTGCAGCTGGAGCTGCAGCCGCACCCGGAGGGAGCAGAGAGACTCCATCCTAGAAACACGTGCTTCTGCTGCTTTTAGCAGAGGGGGCACCCGTGTCCCAAATAAGAGAAATTGACTTTATGGCGAGGACAGGAGCAAGGAAAGTGAAAAGGCTGTTCTGTTTCAGGAAGAAGTATGAAGGAGAATGCTGGGTGCCCTACCCTTTCATATATAAAGGGAATGTGAAATAAAAGTGAGCAAAAGCAAGTGAGTCAGGAGATGTGTAGAACACAGACAGAAGAGAAGTGTTTTGAAAGTTGAAGATTTTGTTTCTTCTGCTGAAGGGACAATGCTAATATTTTCTATTGTAACATGTTAGTTGACTATAAAATCAGATTTCACATTTTCTTTTGGCATCACACATTTCTTTCCCAAAAAGTTTTCATGAAATGTCCCCTTGTAGACTATTACTTCACATGGCTATAAACAGGCAAGTCCCTGTTGGGACATTTTGCATTTTGTTTATCGCCAGACTAGGACAGAATCATTGTAAGCCAGAGACATTACCATCATACAATTATTTGGTAGTAAATAAGTCAGATTTTTCTTCTCCAAAACTGTTGGTACCTTGATGTCAAATGAGCAAATATTGTGAATCATTCTTGTTGAACCAAATCAACAAGAATGCTTCACAATATTTGTTCATTTGACATCAAGGTACCAACAGTTTAGGAGAATAACATTTTTTTTAAACCTTACTGAGTGGTGTCAGAAGTGCTTGAAAATTGCAACACAAACATACATTCAAAAACATATAGAATGCAGTAATATATATATATATATATATATATATATATATATTAATTAAATGGCAAGTCATGTTGAAATAATTTTGCTCAGTAAATACTGTATCTAGGGCAATTCCACGGAAACAGTGACACTGAGATTCCGATGTTTCACTTTAAAATGTATGTCAAACAAACCTATGATTGCAAAGTTAAACAAACCATACAACTCTATGCACAAGGACTCGTTTGAACAATTTCCACAGAACATTGCAGATGCAAAGTTTGGTAACAGAATGACGGCACCAACAGCACAAACCGTAATACTGTTACCGAACTTTGCATCTGCACTGTTTTTCAAGTAAATGTGTTTTTGTAACATTTTCAGTAGAAATTGTAAAAGTAGTCCTTGTGCATAGAGTTGTGTGGTTTGATTAACTTTGGAATCATTGGATTTTTTGTTTAATGGACATTAAAAAAAAAAGTCTCAGTAGCTACGTTTCCATCAACTTGTCCGGTTTTTTATTTTTTGTTTCTGTCGCATTTTAGAAAGTTTGCATAGAAAATTGTTGCCACAATTGCCTGCTATGGTGCGTTTCCATTGAACTGTTTTGTGTCAATAAAAACAGCTGGACGTAATGACGGCACATACCAAAAAAAAAGTGTTGTATAGAAATGAAGTGGTTTAAGTGTTTCCATTATTCATTTAGGCAAATTGCGCATTAATAAATTGGCGACAGCTTGTATGCCCTCCCACCTATCTGTTTGATGTCTCAGGTAGCCCACAAAAGCCAGCATGGATAGAATGCAAGAATTGACTAATATTTGCCATATTCTAATCATAATCATGTGCCAACGAATCGCCACGGTCCGTGCCATGGTGAGACTCCTGTAGATCTTAAATAATTGGATGGTGAAACTTGCATCCAGCCAACCAGAAAAGCAAGGCGAAGCAATTCAGGCATTCTTGAAAGTCAAAGCAATCCTTGTCCTGCAAAGAAACATTTTTATAGTTGAAAAATAGATTTGGCAAGCAGTAGGCATTTACAATTAAATGTGTAGTGGAGCTTTATAGTTACGTGATGACATCACGTGCCCCGCGTACCTTCAAAATTATTCGGCAATCATCATTTATTCGAAAAACACAGTTTCCATCATTTGTCGCAATAAAGAACGTTTGCCGAAAGAAAAATCCACCCATGTCGAACGGATAGAAAATTCTCATATCTGCAGTTTCCATTACACGTGGCGCATTCTTTTGATGTGACATTGCTTGGTCAATGGAAACCTGCCTAGTGTCACTCCTACCGTACTGTGGAATTGCCCATCTAGTCTCCCGTATAAAACATTGTTAAATTGTATTCACCCATGGCTCAGATTTCTTACTGATTTGTATGTCAATATTTACATTTAATTAGAAAAAATGTATACATTTGTTCTTTAAACAATTGTTTTATTATAGTTATATTTGTGAGAGGTACAACCTCTCTGCCTCTTAAGTCCACATCAACTCAATCATCTGTTTACTATACCTTTTTTTTATGTAAATGTAAATGACCATGAATATTCACCTCTAACAGAAGCAGGTTGGCATTTATTGTCATGGCATTTATTGTCATGAATCTTGCCCTGGAGGCAGGGATTCTGCAGAGTGGTCACTAGCTGGCACAGCCACAAAGTCATAAAATCTGATTTTAAACCTAACCTTAACCACACTGATAACCCTAATGCCTAACCTTAAATTAAGACCAAAAAGCAAATTTTGTTTTCATGAACTTTTATGATATATAGCCAATTTTGACTTTGCAGCTGGCCCATCTAGCGGAATTTGCTCTGGCATTTCTCGGCCATTAACCAATCAGGATTAGACGTGACGATTTCACAGGTCTGGAAAATTATGGAATTTGACATTGAAAAAATACAAATTAGATAATGAAATGCATAAATCAAACTCTTCTCTTTCTGAAAGACAAACGTTTTGAGTTGATCAATATTGATTCAATACTATCTTTGATCTGCTTTCCAAGTCATCTCTAATTCTACTACAATGGCTTATTTTGTTTCACGCAAATGTGCAAGACCAGAATAGTTGGTGATTTATTTTGGACCAAATTTTCAGGTCTGAGTTGTTGAGGATTCTATTATGTTTGGCTGGCATAGATGCATCTTTGTCCACAGTTCAATAGCCTACAAACAGTCAGACACAATCAAGCATGGTTAAGTGCTACCCCAGTTAGGAGCCTCCGATACTTGCTTTCGGAAATTAACATTGAGCAAAGACTGCCATTTGACTATTTAATACAGTTCAGTTGGCTATACCTCTGGCATACCATGTTGAATACCTCAGTTTGACGTCTTTCTGATGACATGGTTTTCTAGGCTACATTTTTCTATAGGTTGTGTGGTTGGCTTTCATAGAAGGTCAAAAGCAGTTATGAGTGTGGGGATGTGATTGTTGCTCATTCTTTTACACTTCATACTTGTTTGCATTGTAACACAATGTCCTCTGTATCATATACGCTACAGCAGGTGTCTGCCTCTGTTTAACAGTGTATACAGTGTATACTGTGTACATCCCTGTTACTTTGAACGGATGTTCACTATCCAGAAGATTCCTCCCACACAAAAAGGTAATATAGTTAATCTAGAGTGCAGTATCTGTAATATTTGTATTCCCCTCATTTTTTATTTGTTGGTAAATGAATGTTATAGCCTACAAGATGAGCATTTTGGCGCTTCTGCTTATAATCACTTTTCCCGGATCCTTTTATTTTGCAGAGCTGCAATTTACTTTTTTTATGGAAGATTAAATTATTTTGCCAACTGCTTTCAAAAATCACTGTTGATTTTAACTCTAGTTAATAAAAGGATCAGTAACATTTCCCTTTACATTGTCATTTAATAAAATAGCTAGTCCTAATTGGTGCTAAAATCTAATCTTGGTACATAAAAGGTTCTGTCTGGTAGTTTGAAGTAAGAACACCAGAAATTAAATGAGGATTGTTTAGCAAAATGACACCTGCCATCTTTTATTTTAGGATCAGTTTTACTGCTACTTTTTCTTGCTTTTATATCAGAGAGAAAAAAACATTTAAAATGAATTGTAACCCAGTTATCTTTAGATAGTTGTATATAAAAAGTCCCCTCAGCTAACAGAAGTTATTGAGTAGTTTGCCATACCAACCCTTGGGCACATGTCAGAAAAGGACACACCACACTTTAAAGGCACTGTTACGATGGGATAATATGTTTTCCTAATGGAATATAACAAAGTTGCAAACTGGTATCTATTATACACAGTGTAGAAAAAATTAGGAACCCCTTCCTAATATTGAGTTGCACCCCCTTTTGCCCTCAGAACAGTCTCAATTCGTCGGGCATGGACTCTACAAGGTGTCGAAAGCATTCCACAGGGATGCTGGCCCATGTTGACCCCAGTGCTTCCCACAGTTGTGTCAAATTGGCTGGATGTCCTTTGGGTGGTGGACCATTCTTGATACACACGTAAAACTGTTGAGCGTGAAAAACCCAGAAGCGTTGCAGTTCTTGACACCTGGCACCTACTACCATACCCATTCAAAGGCACTTAAAAAATGTGTCTTGCCCATTCACACTCTGAATGGCACACATACACAATCCATGTCTCAATTGTCTCAAGGCTTAAAAATCCTTCTTTAATCTGTCTCCTCCCCTTCATCTACACTGATTGAAGTGGATGTAACAGTTCACATCAATTAGGGATCATAGCTTTCACCTGGATTCACCTGGTCAGTATGTCATGGAAATACCTAATGATTTGTACACTCAGTGTATAGGTTCTATATTCATTTTTAAACATCTGACTTAAGATATTTTGCATGTCTGATCATGATCCCCGGAAACTTGAGACAATTTCTGTAACCTTCTGTAGATAATTCAATAGGCTATATTTAGTTTAACTTTTAACTTTTTAACTTTTTTCTTGCGTAGTGCAAAAAAATGGAACTGTTCATAAATTGGAAAGATGTGTATTGTCAATACCATACAGCTAATGGGCACTTTATTTTTTAACTGTTCTAAATATTCAGCTGTACCACACAAACATAGTCAAATCCACCACTCAGAAATCTAGGACATAAAAGCAAGAAATGCATCACTTTGTTTGCCCATATTTGCCTCATGTTGTGTTGACCATTTTATTTTGTAATTATTTTTATTTGTGTTGACCAAGAAAGAGATTGTGGTATTAGGTGAATATGAACATGGTTATATGTGACTAAGTTGTTTAAAAATCTATAAAAATGTTGAATTAGCAATATTGTGACATTGACAAGATTACATTGATTTCACATTTGCTAAACTGCTGTTTTTTATTTTATTACAAGAAAAAGAGAACTATTGATAAACCATCTATTGTCTTGTAGTAGATTTCAATTGCACCAGACAATTTGAATGTACTGTACTGTACTGTAGAATGTAAAACTAATTATTCAGAAACTACTGCAGTTTTTCCTTTTTCTTTCAGCAAAGTGCCCTACCTAAAACCTTGCAAGTCATTAGAGTTAGTAACAGGACAGAGACTACAACAGTCAGGAGAAGTACCAGCACATCCACATTGTGGTAAGCATACCAGGGTATCTTGTAGGACTCAGTGTGCAAGTGTGCTGCACCCTTGTGTCTCATAGCAAATTCTAGCCAGAAGATGGTGTTGTCCATTGGTTTGAGAGGTGTATCGTGGTGGAGCTTCGACATCCTGTGCATATTCTCTCTGTAGGGCTTCCTCTTGTCCAGGATGTCTGTCAGTGCCTGTGTCATAGGTTCCACCTTTAGGGACGTCACCTCGAGAACCTTAGCCACACCCCTGGCCTGTAGATGCAGCATGTGGTCAAAGATGAGAGGAAGGCCTAACATGGGAACCCCATGGTAGATGGCCTCATAGATCCCATTGGTGCCCCTGTGCGTCACAAAGGCTCTTGTTTTGGGATGGCCCAGTAGGTCGTTCTGAGGCAGCCAGTTCACCAGCAGTGTGTTTATTGCCTAGAGTAGAGGGCTTCTCTCCCGTGTGTCTCCACACCACCTTCTGAGGCAGGAGGGCGAAGGCAGCTGCAATGACCTCTGAGATCTCTAGTAGGAGGCTACCCAGCAGACTCCCCAAAGACAAGTCCACCCTCATCAGCCATAGGTCAGCCCCCTGAATGAGACAATAGATGTTGGTGTTTGGATCGATGTATTTGTTGATCACACCCTGGTATAAGGATCTTGTTATGCCATAATCAATATAAATAGCGATTCCATAATGCAATACGTTTTTCAGTTTGTTGGCTAAGCTAATTTTATCTGTGACCAGCGACCCGATAGTTGGAATGTAAGAAATAGGCGAAGGTGCAATCTCAAAGTGTCCCTCTGCATTAGTGATCCAACGAACGAGTAATTCCCCAATACAACTCCTCCTGCAAATCCAGGATCGGTCAACATTAAATCAAAGTTGGCTGCCTTCAGCTTCTCCATTAATTGTTTGTCCTCCATGGCTAAGAGGGCCATTTCAGCAAATTAATAGTCTCCTTCTGTAGCTTGATGAAGGACAAAATGGAGCGCTCTCGTGTCCATATCTCCAGGCTCCTCTTAATGAAGTATGCCATGTACTGTGGGTCCTCCAGGCTGCTGGCCCCGGGCACCGGCACTGTGACGGAGGAGCAGTGGGGGGCATGTTCAGGGACGTACCAGCTCGTAGACGAGCGGACCACCGTTAAAGAGTGCCCCCGCTGGTGCAGCTCTTGTAGGAGGATGTCCATGTTGAGCAAATGGCTGCCGTCCACAGGGTACACCAGGATGTTGCCAGCATGGCTCTGAGCTGGGAACACCCACAGGAGACAGGTCAGGAGGAAGAGAGCAGGATGTGGAGGGAAGCAAGGTGGGGCTGCCACGGTGACTAGCATGGTTTGTCTGGAGAAGACAAAGAATGTAACAAATATTGTTGCTTTCTGTGTTTGAGCAATCTAAAAGTGTTTTCATTGACCATTGCGTTCCACCCCCCTCCCACCACACACACACACACATTAAGTAATATGACTCTAGTTGTTTACTATCTAAACCATGAAACATGAATTCAATGCATTGGTTGCATATCATCTTCTATCTTTTTGCTACATTGGCGGCAACAGACTGCCATTGATAAAGAGATAAATCAGTGAGTTACTGCAACTTTAAGATTGCCCGGCAGAAGAGGAAATGAAGCAGGCTAGGCAGATATGTTGGTAGGTGAGGCCATTATTGAGAATAAAAAGTGGTTAGATTAAAAAAGATGAGACTAGCATTCAAATAGCAGTAGTTGTAGTCCAGTGGAGGCTCCTCGGAGAAGGAAGGGGAGTACCATCCTCCTCAGTGAATTTCATAAAAATAGTAAAACATTAAAAAAGTTATCCTTTTTAGATAAAACTATACTAAATATATTCACGTCACCAAATAATTTATTAAAACGCAATTTTTTGCAATGAAGGTCTACAGTAGCCTCAACAACGCTCTGTAGGGTAGCACCATGGTGTAGCTGGAGGACAGCTAGCTTCCTTCCTCCTCTGTGTACATTGACTTCAATACAAAACCTAGGAGGCTCATGGTTCTCACCCCCTCCCTTAGACTTACACAGTAATTATGACTTCCTCCAACCTATTAGAGCTCTTGCAGCATGAACTTACATGTTGTCCACCCAATCAAAGGATCAGAGAATGAATCTAGTACTGAAAGCATAAGCTACAGCTAGCTAGCACTGCAGTGCATAAAATGTGGTGAGTCGTTGACTCAAAGAGAGAGAAAGACAGTAGTTGAGCTGTTTTGAACTAATCAATTTCTTCCAAAATGAAGGGGAAGCAAGAGAGCGATTTTGTCATTTTTTAAAATCTGTTCAGTTTTACTTACTTAGGTAGCAAATGCAGCTAGAGAGTTTAGCCTACTCAAACACCCTTCTCAAACAGAGGGATGCTATGTTAGCTAGCTGGCTATGACTATCCAACACAACACTGGAACTCCTCCAAGTCAAGGTAAGCTTTTAGTTTTACTAATTTATTGCCACCGGGGCCCACTGGTGTAAGTGCTAAACTGCTTACTTGACTGTACACTAATGTTACTGCATGATTGTAGCGGGTTTACTAACGCATTAGTTCTATTAGCTATGTTGACTATGACATTACTTTAGCTAATATGGTGACAAAGATCTAGGCTGTGTGTAGCGGTTATGATATGGCTTGGCTTGGAAAGTTTTTCTTTGCCTGGTCACATACAGCTGATGTGCAAAGGGAAAAGGTGAGAGGAGGAGAGTGTATAGATACGAGAAGGAATACAGCATGGCTGCTATGAAAGTGAACTGTGTTTACGCGTGATCAAGGGTGTATTCATTCCGCCAATTCTGTTGAAAAACTTTTCTTAAACGGAAGCAAACGGAACGAAACGGGGATATACATACCTGAATCTGTCCAATAAAAACTCTGGTTTGCAACTGTTGGACTAATGATTACACCCTAGATCAGCTAGATGCAGGCAAGAGTGTGCAAGGCGGTATTGAATGTGTCACTGTCTGTCCATGTGTCGCTGTCTGTCGCCTCAACATTTTCTCTCAACCTGTGTGCACCTACGTTGTAAACTTTAATTCATAGGCTAGGTTGTAGAAACCTCATGATGGGTGTAGAGAAAATTGTAGTAGCCTTAACCTATCTCTGTTACATTGAACTGGGTGAATGGAATATGAATGATAGTCATCCAATATGCTATAATAGAAATAAGACAATGCTCATGAAAAATAAATGTTGTCCTCCCTCATCTTAAACTTCACTGACCGCCACTGTTGTAGTCATTGTGTACACTTGAACCAAAGTGGGATCCCTCCCTTCACCTGACACCAACCTTTGTGTGAGCCACAATGGACATGGCCAAACAAGTTTTTACAAGATAATGGACTTTTATGTGATGGAATGCACTGCACATAGATTTCTCATTCAGTGTAATCAGAACATTTTGCATCCACTTGTGTAACATAACTTTCCCTGAACCCAAAGTAGGGGGGCTCTGCAAGAGGCAGGGGTTGGACCACATTTATGCTAAGTTATTTGGTACAGTATTATGGATTATTTATTTCAAAGAACAGAATGTAACTTTCAGATATACTCAATTTCAAAATCACACACACACACACACATTCTATGCCAAAATAAAAGGCCACAGCTTACCTTGGGTAGGAAGATATGATGAGCACCTTGTTGTAAGTGGCCCCAAAGAGCCCCTTTAGCTATGAGAGTACATTGAAATAGGGATGAATATCTCCATGGCAAAGTAAAATGCAATGCTGTCAGTGGTTGTTTCTTCACTTCTGCTCAACACAGTTTTTCATAGGCTACTACACCAAACATATATGCCGCACTTTGGCACACCGCAGGAAAAGTAGTAATTAACTTTGACCCAGATTTCTGACATTGTCTATGCCATAGCCGAAGGAGAGAAGGGTTGATCTGAAGCTACAATGCCTGCCCCAAAAACAGATTATGCAGAGGGGATTATGTACAATTCATTCACAATGACTCAGCCTCTCATAATCCAAAAACAATGTGATCGTGAAAAGTGCAAGATATGAGATTTATTCCTATACAAGCATATTAATTCATAATTAAATATTGTTTGAAAACCAATAGTAAGAGCATTAGCAGTTGTATGATTTCTAAGGGGGAATTCTAGTATTGTGGAATTTGTGGTCAAGGCTGAGGCTTCTAGGCCAAATTCCCCCCCACCCCCCCACCCCCCAAAAAAATTCTGAACTAGATTTTTCCCCCCTGCTTTAGTCTCTCATTTACATAATGCATGTTTAGAATTGGGTCCTTAGTGACTAGGGAGTTTCCCTTTAAGGTGTAACCCATTGAGATATTGATGCGTCACACTCAAATGACAATTTTCTTGCTTAGTGTTAGACTGGGAAAAGTTAACATGTGCGTTTATATATTGTTGCTGGGAGCTGATTTTGGTTAAACCATGGATTTAAGATATTTACCTCCACTGTCAAAGGAAGATTGTCGGGATTAACTAGTCAACAGCCTTTGAGATTGTATTGAGCTGAATGAATGTTGGCTTGTGTTTACGTTTCCAATGTTAACATTTTGAATAAGAGAGGGGCTTACATCACATTATTACAATAATTGATATGGAGAGAACAATAATTCACTCAAACGCTTTAAATGTTTACTGTGTGAGACAAGCAAACTTGTCAAAGTCACTGGGAAACTGGTCAGAGGGTAAGCCCCCTAAGTGAACCAGCAAATCCAAAATGTTATTGTAATTTCCTAGTAGGTTAGTTTACATGAGCAAAAATGTTTAACTAACTAGGAGATGTTGTGTTTCTAAGTTAGCTTGACGAAACTGACCCCACCCTACTACCTATCATGAAACATGCCTACCCCTCAAGGAATTTAAAGTGGGAAGAGGAAAGCACCTGGAACATACTAATTTGGCTTTGAAACAACCATCTTTGAATTTAAATTAAATTCATTATTTTTTTCCAAAGCTTATATTCTGTTTTGATAAACAGTGTGTTACTCTTATTCCCAGAGAAGATGCCTTTGTGTGGTTTCTTCAAATAGTGATCATCACGGGTGTTATGTAACATGTATTCAGTGATAAATAAATGCTACCTTTTGTTAGGTATCGGTTTTCCTCTTTGGAGGAATCAGGTGACACACAAAAGGTTACAAAATCTGGCTATAAAAAGGTTCATACATGACAATATACTCATTATCAACTTTGATCATGACTCTTACACCCAAGCGCAAGTGGTACATAGCATTTGTGATTGCAGGTGAGCAAATTATATTTTAACAATACCATTTATGAATATTTATGTTAACTATTTATGAAAATGTTTGTCCCATATGAGCAAATAGTGTGTTTCACAAAATACTTAAAACACAATATGTTGTGTACTACATGTACACACAGGGCTCTAAGATTTCATATAGTAGTTTTGTGTGTACAGTTGAAGTTGGAAGTTTACATACACTTAGGTTGGAGTCATTAAAACTCGTTTTTCAACCACTCCACAAATTTCTTGTTAACAACCTATAGTTTTGGCAAGTTGGTTAGGACATCTACTTTGCATGACACAAGTAATTTTTCCAACAATTGTTTACAGACAGATTATTTCACTTATAATTCACTGTATCACAATTCCAGTGGGTCAGAAGTTTACATACACTAAATTGACTGTGCCTTTAAACAGCTTGGAAAATTCCAGAAAATTATGTCATGGCTTTAGAAGCTTCTGATAGGCTAATTGACATAATTTGAGTCAATTGGAGGTGTACCTGTGGATGTATTTCAAGGACTACCTTCAAACTCAGTGCCTCTTTGCTTGACATCATGGGAAAATCAAAAGAAATCAGCCAAGACCTCAGAAAAAAAATGGTAGACCTCCACAAGTCTGGTTCATCCTTGGGAGCAATTTCCAAACGCCTGAAAGTACCACGTTCATCTGTACAAACAATAGTACGCAAGTATAAACACCATGGGACCACACAGCCGTCATACCGCTCAGGAAGGAGATGCGTTCTGTCTCCTAGAGATGAACGTACTTTGGTGCAAAAAGTGCAAATCAATCCCAGAACAACAGCAAAGGACCTTGTGAAGATGCTGGAGGAAACAGGTACATAAGTATCTATATCCACAGTAAAACAAGTCTTATATCGACATAACCTGAAAGGTCGCTCAGCAAGGAAGAAGCCACTGCTCCAAAACTGCCATAAAAAAGCCAGACTACGGTTTGCAACTGCACATGGGGACAAAGATCGTACTTATTGGAGAAATGTCCTCTGGTCTGATGAAACTAAAATAGAACTGTTTGGCCATAATGACCATCGTTATGTTTGGAGGAAAAAGGGGAACGCTTGCAAGCCGAAGAACACCATCCCAACCGTGAAGCACGTGGGTGGCAGCATCATGCTGTGGGGGTGCTTTGCTGCAGAAGGGACTGGTGCACTTCACAAAATAGATGGCATCATGAGGAAGGAAAATTATGTGGATATTTTGAAGCAACATCTCAAAACAACAGTCAGGAAGTTAAACCTTGGTCGCAAATGGTCTTCCAAATGGACAATGACCCCAAGCATACTTCCAAAGTTGTGGCAAAATGGCTTAAGGACAACAAAGTCAAGGGTATTGGAGTGGTCATCACAAAGCCCTGACCTCAATCCTATAGAGAATTTGTGGGCAGAACTGAAAAAGCGTGTGTGAGCAAGGAGGCCTACAAACCTGACTCAGTTACACCAGCTCTGTCAGGAGCAATGGGCCAAAATTCACCCAACTTATTGTGGGAAGCTTGTGGAAGGCTACCCGATACATTTGACCCAAGTTAAACAATTTAAAGGCAATGCTACCAAATACTAATTGAGTGTATGTAAACTTCTGACCCACTGGGAATGTGATGAAAGAAATAAAAGCTGAAATAAATAATTCTCTCTACTATTATTCTGACATTTCACATTCTTAAAATAAAGTGGTGATCCTAACTGACCTAAGACAGGGAATTTGTACTAGGATTAAATGTCAGAAATTGTGAAAAACTGAGTTTAAATGTATTTGGCTAAGGTGTATGTAAACTTCCGACTTCAACTGTAGGTTCTCAGCAAATAATCATTTATTTAATATTATTGGGTTAATCCACAGTGGTTACTCTGCTCACTGACATTTCCATTGTATAAATTCCCTATTGCTTTGCGAAAGTTCAGAAACAGCACTGTGAAGTATATGACTACTAACAGCACTGTGAAGTATATGACTAAAAACAGCACTGTGAAGTATATGACTACTAACAGCACTGTGAAGTATATGACTACTAACAGCACTGTGAAGTATATGACTACTAACAGCACTGTGAAGTATATGACTACTAACAGCACTGTGAAGTATATGACTACTAACAGCACTGTGAAGTATATGACTACTAATATCCTGGTCTACTTTGTTTTCCAATTAATCTGTTAACTAATAGCAAATGAGAACTGAAACACGTCTGTGTCCACCTCTTATCAACTCACACATACACAGGACCTTTGACATGGCAATACAATATAACATCTTTACCTCATTGTATGTTTATCATTATTTTCCACTCATGTAGTTGTTTGCACCAATGAAGGAGCATCTCGAGTTCTAGATAGAAGTAAGTATAGTGAAGCAGACTTGTAATTCATTCTGTTATTAAGTTTGATCTTAATAAAAAAGAATAATAATGTAATTCCATGATGGCAATCATACACTGTAGTTCCTCTATATGTGACTATCATATAAATACCCAGTCCCTTAATGTGGGACTTTACAAAACAATTATTTTCCAGCCTCCACAGTCAGTGCTGGAGGAGTACGTTTAGTGGATGGCCCAAACAACTGCTCTGGCAGGGTGGAGGTGTACTATGCAGGCCAGTGGGGTACAGTGTGTGATGATGACTGGGACCTTCTGGATGCCAAGGTAGTGTGTAGAGCACTGGGCTGTGGGGTGGCCCTGGGAGCCCCGGACCAGGCCCACTTTGGCCAAGGGAGGGGGGAGATCTGGCTAGATGATGTGGAATGTTCTGGGAATGAAGAGTCACTGCTTGGCTGCAGCTCAGATGGACTGGGGTCACACAACTGTGGACATTCTGAGGATGCAGGAGCGATATGTGAGGGGCAGTCAGGTAAGTCTGTGGTTGAATTTTCTCAGAATATTTATCTAAACTACCAACACCAGCCAGGGGCTTGTGTGATGCTACCATTTTTCTCCCTCTCTGTCTCTCTTCCTCTCTCTCTCTCTCTCTCTCTCTCAGGTCCGTCCCCTTCAGATTTCCATTGTGAGTAATCTAAAAATGATTCCCCACTGGGCACAGATGTCAATTCAACGTGTATTCCAAGTTGGTTCAACGTAATTACATTGTCATGACGTGGAAACAATAATGATTTAAACAGTGTGTTCCCAGTAGGTCTTTACTCTGTTTCAATTGCAGAAAACCACACTACATGCACAGAAATTATGGTCACATCAGACATACTGTATATTCAAATGTCATGAGAAGAAACCCCTAACTGACACAACCAATTTGCCTCAGTGCAGTTTGTGGTCACCTATCACCAAAAATCTGACCATTATTTATGGTCTGTTTATTTTAGGTCCGAATAAGAGATTTATATTTTAGTCATTTAGCAGATGCTCTTATCCATCATACAGGCACAATTAGGGCATATAAACATATGTTTCACCTAGTCAGCTCAGGGATTCGAAACGGCAACCTTTCAGTTACTGGCCCAACGCTATTACCTGCTAAGCTACCTGCCGCTTTTGAACTTTGACAATGGCAGGTGCTGTCTGTCTCTCCAGCAGTAGTTGAAGGGGAAAGATGTATCACCATACCATTCTCGCTCTCTCACTCTCGCTCTCTCAGGTCCATCCCCTTCAGATTCAAATTCCCATTGTGAGTAATCTAAAGATTATTCCTTACTTTGTTTCAGTTGCAAAACGAGTCATAATACGTATTTGTAAAACAAAAAGTCAGTGCCCGTAAAGTGTTTCTCCCTTTCCCTTCCTCTTAACTCAAACAGCTGACTTGACAGTGCGCCTAGTTGATGGTCCCAATCGCTGCTCTGGCAGGGTGGAGGTCTACAAGGATGGGAGTTGGGGGACAGTCTGTGATGATAACTGGGCTTTGCTAGATGCCCAAGTTGTGTGTAGGGAGCTGAGCTGTGGACCAGCCACAGAGGCTCCTCACCAGGCTCACTTTGGTGAAGGGAGTGGCTCAATCCTATTGGATGATGTGGCGTGCATGGGAAGTGAGGGATCTTTACTGGAATGCAGGTCTGGAGGGATAGGAAACCATGACTGTGGCCATGATGAAGATGCCAGTGTGACTTGCATGATGGGTAAGTCTGTCTACAATTACAGTAGACAAAAATAGTTTATGTTCAGATTAATTAAGGATCATTTATTACCTGTTTTTCACAATATCTCACTCTCGTTGTCAATTTCCCTTCTCCATATTTTCCTAACCTCCAATTCAAGAACAAGAGGACCCATTTAGAAACAGTAAGATCAATTCCATACAACTATATTATAAGTGTATCATGCGGGGCAGTGGGGTACGGTGTGTGATGATGACTGGGACGTGAGCGATGCTGACGTGGTCTGCGGACAGCTCAGCTGTATGTGGGCTATGGATGCCCCCGGATGGGCCTGGTTTGGTATGGGAGTTGGTATTCCTATTCTGCTGGACAACATGGCCTGTGTTGGAACAGAGGACTCTCCCTTTGACTGGCCCTCTGATGTGATGGGTCAGTACAACTGCATGCATCCTGAGGATGCAAGTGTGGTCTGCTCAGGTGAGATTAAAGGGGAAGTTCCATATTCAACTGTTAGATGGTTCCTGATCCTGAAACTAGTTTATGGGCCAAGAGAACTGTAATCCATATTTCAGTTTCCTTTAAACAGCCACTGTAACCTTTAGTTAATTTAAAGCACAGTTAGCTTTATTTATTTATATAGCACTCTAAGGTTACATACAGTGGGTTCCGAAATTATTGACATCCTTAATAAAGATGAGCAAAAATGACTGTATAAAATAAATCATTAAAATACTGAGCTATATTGTATGCTAAATTTTTTGGGGGAATTATATTATTTCATACTAATATAACTGCTCAGAGAAAGAGATTTTATTGCACAAGTAATACTTATTTTCTCTCAATAGGTAAGGGTCAATTGTCACAGTGCTTAGTTAAGAGACGGTAGACGGAGTGCTCGTGGAGTGACATCCTTTTTATTTAAACTTGTCACACTAATAAGAATTCAAAAATAAACAAGGAGAGACAAGCATCAAGTGACTTACATGCTGTGGACACAATTGCAGACACACACGAACAATGATCCACACACAGGTGGACGTGAGAGGTGCCTGAATACTATCCCCAATCAGAGACAAACTCTAGACAGCTGTCTCCGATTGGGGATCATAAACCACCCCTAGTTATGATGTGAGGGCTTGACTGTGGTCCTACCACTCCCCCTAGTGGGAGTAAGGCCTAACCACACTCAAACCCTCACATCAATACCTTTCAACACCTCACTCTGCGAGGTTAACAGTGCTGAGCCTTTTTCTAAAATGGTTTATGAGTTGGAGAACACATTGGGAGGGATCTTATACCATTACTCCAAACAGGCAACCAGGTTTTTGGTTAAAATGTCCTGGTACTGGGTAAAGTTCCTGATGTCATCGACCTTAACAAGTGCCCCAGGACCAGTGGAAGCAAAACAGCCTCATAATATCAAAGATCCACTGCCATATTTTACAGTAGGTACTGTATGGGTTATTTTCTGCTCATGCATTCTCATTTCGACACCAAACCTACCACTGGTGTGCATGGTCAAAGAGCTCTATTTTCATGTCATCCAACAAATGTAAACACCTGGAGTTTGCTAAATGGCATTGGCACTTGGATTGGAACCAGTTCTTTAGTCAGAAGACATAAAAATAGAGCTCTTTGGCCACGCACACCAGTGGTGGGGTTTGGCGTCGAAATGAGAATGCATGAGCAGAAAAGAACCCCATACTTACTGTAAAATATAGTGGTGTATTTTTGATGTTATGGGGCTATTTTGCGTCCACTGGTCCTGGGGCCCTTGTTAAGGTCAATGGCATAATCCTGCAGCAACAGGAAATGTGAATTATTATGTGGATTATAATTAATGGGCATTTTTGTTGGGGTTGATACATTTTTCGTAAGGGAAACTCAAGTCTGAAATTTCAAAGTGGAAATGACAAACTTCAGAAGCCTTCTTAAACCTCAAATACACTACATGTTCTAAATGTCCTGCATTGCAGGAAAGGTATCCTACAACAGGGTGATCAAATTAAGATCCTACATCTGTAAATTGTCTTCATGTTCCATCTACAAAGTTTTCAAATCAACAACAATCCCACCCCGTCATCTTAACAGTTCTCCCTGTCTTTTACAGTTGGCATTTCCAGCGTGCGTCTGGTCAACGGTCCCAACAACTGCTCTGGTAGAGTGGAGGTGTTCGACTCTGGCCAGTGGGGTACAGTGTGTGATGATGGCTGGGATCAGAGGGATGCTCAGGTGATGTGCAGAGAATTGGGCTGTGGAGAAGCACTAGAGGCCACCATGAAGATGCAGGAGTCACCTGCACTGGTAAGATGACTGTTTGTGGCAAGAAGTTTACATATCATGATATTGTCTATGTTGGTAACTGTACTAACGTTTGTGGAACAAATCCCATTCAAGTCATGGTACCGATATTAACATTTTTCCCACATCATGTTCAAATCATCTATAAGTGACTTTGTTGATTTTCACAATACATTTTAGATGCTTTTAGATGATTTGGACATGATGCACAAAAAAATGCTAATGTCGGTACCAGGATTTGGATTGGATTTGTGCCACAAATGCTAAAACGTTAGCATTTGTAAGCAATGCCAGCAAAACTAAACCAAAGCATGGATTGCTGTCAAACCTTGTCCGTAGACTGCTTACAGGGCAAGGACACCAATGTAATTTTGTACTATGAGTGAACTATCCCTTTAAGCAGAAATCTGTCAAAAAGTTGGTGCTAGCAACTTGGCGCTGGAGGAGATGGCTGCCGTTTTACGGGCTCCTAACCAATTGTGCTATTGTGCTATTGCTATTGCTATTGTGCCAGACGGATTACCAGGACGTGTACTCCGAGCATGCACCGACCAACTGGCAAGTGTCTTCACTGACATTTTCAACATGTCCCTGACTGAGTCTGTAATACCAACATGTTTCAAGCAGACCACCATAGTCCCTGTGCCCAAGAGCACTAAGATAACCTGCCTAAATGACTACCGACCCGTTGCACTCACGTCTGTAGCCATGAAGTGCTTTGAAAGGCTGGTCATGGCTCACATCAACACCATTATCCCAGAAACCCTAGACCCACTCCAATTTGCATACCGTCCCAACAGATCCACAGATAATGCAATCTCTATTGCACTCCACACTGCCCTTTCCCACCTGGACAAGAGGAACACCTACGTGAGAATGCTATTCATTGACTACAGCTCAGCGTTCAACACCATAGTGCCCTCAAAGCTCATCACTAAGCTAAGGACCCTGGGACGAAACACCTCCCTCTGCAACTGGATCCTGGACTTCCTGACGGGCCGCCCCCAGATGGTAAGGGTAGGTAAACACACATCTGCCAATCTGATCCTCAACACGGGGGCCCCTCAAGGGTGCGTGCTCAGTCCCCTCCTGTACTCCCTGTTCACCCATGTCTGCATGGCCAGGCACGACCCCAACACCATCATTAAGTTTGCCGACGACACAACAGTGGTAGGCCTGATCACCGACAACAATGAGACAGGCTATAGGGAGGAGGTCAGAGACCTGGCCGTGTGGTGCTAGGATAACAACCTCTCCCTCAACGTGATCAAGACAAAGGAGATCAGGAAAAAGAAGAGGACCGAGCACGCCCCCATTCTCATCGACGGGGCTGTAGTGGAGCAGGTTGAGAGCTTCAAGTTCCTTGGTGTCCACATCACCAACAAACTAACATGGTCCAAACACACCAAGACAGTCGTGAAGAGGGCACGTCAAAGCCTATTCACCCTCAGGAGACTGAAAAGATTTGGCATGGGTCCTCAGATCCTCAAAAAGTTCTACAGCTGCACCATCGAGAGCATTCTGACTGTTTGCATCACTGCCTGGTATGGCAACTGCTCGGCCTCAGACTGCAAGGCACTACAGAGGGTAGTGCGTACGGCCCAGTACATCACTGGGGCCAAGCTTCTTGCCATCCAGGACCTCTATACCAGGCGGTGTCAGAGGAAGGCCCTCAAAATGGTCAAAGACTCCAGCCACTCTAGTCATAGACTGTTCTCTCTGCTACCGCACGGAAAGCAGTACCGGAGCGCCAAGTCTAGGTCCAAAAGGCTTCTTAACAGCTTCTACCCCCAAGCCATAAGACTCCTGAACAGCTAATCAAATGGCTACCCGGACTATTTGCATTGTCGTTGACTGTTTGCATCACTGCCTGGTATGGCAACTGCTCGGCCTCAGACTGCAAGGCACTACAGAGGGTAGTGCGTACGGCCCAGTACATCACTGGGGCCAAGCTTCTTGCCATCCAGGACCTCTATACCAGGCGGTGTCAGAGGAAGGCCCTCAAAATGGTCAAAGACCCACCATCTTCATAGACTGTTTCCTGCTCCGCACTCTATCCGGACCCAAGGCTGGTTATTATAATAGTAAGTAACTTGAAACATATTACATCAAATAACAGGACTAACCTGTTTCCCCGCACATTGACTCTACCGGTACCCCCGTATATAGCCTCCACTCACTACTGTTATTTTATGCTTGCTTATTTTCTTAAAACTGCATTGTTGGTTAAGGGCGTGTAAGTAATCATTTCACTGTAAGGTCTACACCTGTTGTATTCGGGCGCATGTGACAAATAAGATTTGATTTGATTTGATACCTAGATGTTGTGTAAAAGTGTGTGTGAACTTGTAATTTTTATCATTTTAATATGTGGTTAGCCTATGTGTCAATGTTTCACTGTTTTTCTCATTTTAGGTACTGCTTCTGGGGGCTTCTGAAAGCATGTAGAGCTCTCATCCATCCAGTCTAGTAGTAAGAATGGTCAACCATAGATACTGTATGTACTTTCAAATGATATTTATATGATGCCAACTCTCTCCATCTGGGACATGCTGTTGTGCAAATCAAACACACTTCTAAAAATACAGTGCAGAAAACCATTATCAGTAACTATTTAATTCTGGCTAGAGGGAATTTTTTGCTTTCAGCAGGGAATATGGCATCCAACCATTTAAAATCCTGCCTCATTTTATCATTCATAATAGCCCTCTTTAATGACACAATGCCAAGAAGGTTGCTGTGTCAGAGTTTCCAGATTGAGAAGGTGAAGACAACCCAGGCCAGCCAAGCCCCAAAAGCCTTCTAAATTTGAACACAAATACAGTTAAAATGCAATCACATGAGGTATAAGATGAATATGCATAAGGTGTTGAAAATTATTTGTATAGTGTTGACAATACTGTAACTAATAAATTAGAAAGTGAACTGAAATATAATTCAAAAAAATCATCAGAGAAAATAATGGGCAATTTTTAATTTATGGATTTAATTTCAATTCATTACATGATATTTAGTCATTTAAAAGTTTGTGTTGACATTTTTCTAGTTCTACAAAACATTGTATTTGTATTCCTGCATAGTTTGCTTTCTACAATTAACAGGACCGTGAGTCCTATTACCAGGCTAATGTACTGTGAATTATTATCATTTATCTTGGATTAAATCAAAGTAAAGAATACTGAATTGTTATTCCAAGATTTTTACCATTTCTTTATTTTCTTTGGGATTTTACCAATATATTCACCAAGTTGCACATAAGGAAGGGTACATTCACATGCTAAATTCCTCTCCATCCACTCCATCAATAGAGAGCAACAATAGGTCGTTGTTAGATGATCAAGGTATCTAGTTAAGCTTTACAATGTAGGCTAACTTGAACATTAGACTTTTCCCAAAATATCAATTAGGAATATATTTTTCAAAAGCCTTCCTACTACATCCTTTCTTTATTGTCCTCCTATCTCTCACCCACAATCACCATCATGGTTTCACATCGTCACGTTAGGCTTATGGGAGGTGCCCTGCTGTTTAATGAATAAACATTAGTCAGACAATCACATTTATGACATGAAAGAGGCCCAGCAACTCAGCTCATTTCACAGGGTGAGCCTTAATAATCTCTACCTAGATTCTGAATATGCAATCAGGCAATTCCATTTTATGCCAGAAGAGGGATAACTTCCAGTTGCGGTATGCTAGAGCCCGGCAGATCTCAATTCACATCTGTTACTATTCTGATAGGACATTTAAAGGATTTCAAATGAATTAATTGAGTATGTAAATTGTTGTGTGGGTGTTGCTTTAAAAATATGGTCTCTTTTTATAGAGGGATGAAGAGACCAAGTGTAAATCAGACTCGTGCAGGTGAAGGTCATGGACTCAATAACTTCCTTCCTCTTCCTTCTTCCTCACCCCACTCCTGTGTGGGCACTGGGCTATGTTTTATTAATGGGGAAGTCGCTGGCTGCATGGCTACCTCTATAATTAATGTAGTTTAGCATTAGAAGGCAACATGTTCTGGGGAGAAGGAGAGATCTGATTATGATGAATGGACAGTGCATATAAATGAGACCAGAGAAACAACCTGTCATTTTGTCTATGTGTAGTGGGCTATGTAACACTATATGCTCTGATTGTCTATTGCATGTTCTGTAGACTAAATGCTTAGCTAATTATTATGATGATAATAAAAACATTTCATTGTGATGAGGCCACATAAACATGTTACATGGCCCTTTTCAATGTAGGGCTATCAATTAGCTTATATAGGCCTATCTACCTCCATGAATTGATGAAAGTCATTCTGAATATTATTTATTATATGATGATTTGATGAATATTTTAAATTATATTGACGTTTTACCAATGACTGTCTAAAGCTCAGACAGTCTATATAGGGATATTAGTAACAATATTCTGGTCTAACGTGATTGTAAAGTATTGGTGAGCAAGGGGAGGGATTGCTACGAGCGTCAGCTCGGCAGTCGCAGCATCCATCCATCCACTCCTCCCCCTCCGACCCGTCGCATAGAACAGCCCATTTTAATGTTGCCATCACCATAGGACGAGTGCGGTAAGCGAGGCATCTTTTCAGCATGTAGACCCAAATTCTTGTTCACCCATTGGAGCTTGTGCTGTATTATCAATTAGACGAAAAAATTACAGCAACGAGAGTAACTGGGAGCAACGACCAGAATAACAGTAATAATATCAAATAGCTACCTGCGGTCCTTAACCATTAATTTATGCAAACACGCTAACATCTACCCTGCATCATATAATTTTCTTCCGCATTAGAGGAATTCCACATAGACATCTGCACAATTCTGTGCTATACATTTTCATATCCTGACCAGAAACAACAGATGGGACATCACGTCAGTATAGTCTACATCCTTCAAACGTTTTTCTCTGTCGGATATGAAGTGAATTTAAAAGTGAAGAACATTGGATTTCCTGTTTTTCTAAACTCTCCTTTGACGTCCTTGGACATGGCCGGGTGAGTATTTCAAAAAAAAATCTCAGTTCAATGGTGTTCTATCATTATGGTGGACTAAGGATAGATACTATGGCATCAAAATGCCTCATGATATTGGAGTGACCTGTGAAAATGGCGAATATTTGCACCATTTATTAGACCTAGGCCTATTATTATTATCATTATCATTATTATTATTATTATAGCCTACCTTTCTCGGTAGAACACTAGTATTGATAGCAGTCATCCAAAATATTATGGCATTGGTAGGCTATAATAAAACTAACAATCCATGAGATAAAATGTATTCATGAATCCAATATAGTGACTTGGCTACATTACGAGATACTATAAAACATTTATTTGTCAGTTATTACAGGCAATTATCAGTTATTACCGAGAAAACTATCTAGGTAGGCTACATTAATGTTGTGGGCAACAGGAATAGATTATTATTCATAGTAGGGCAGCACTGGCATCTGGAATATAAAAATCCCGATTTGGCGTATTCTGGGAATAGGGTATAGGCCTACTGCTCACTTCTATGATTGATATGAGTATGCCGTTATTTTATGTCTGACTGAGTCAAATCAGTGCACAGAGATGAGTTATTCAGCGAATGAGCCATAGCCCGTGTCTATCCGGTGATAACCTTGTAGTAGGCCAGCTCACAGATTAAATGTAGCACATTCACGCGGGCAAAATGTTATACTTTTCCCACCATCAAGAAACACATTATGTTCCAATCGTATTTTTCCGTGAGCTGCAATTCTTTTGAAATCTGTTGCCTCGAAAATATGTTCTCATTCAAATTAGGCCCATCATACCCCCTTCCACCTCTGGAAAAACTATAATAAAAATGATGAATGTAAGGAAAGGTGTATATTTCCCTACTTTTGTGTGCATTTCTATCGTAAGGGAAGGATATCGCTAACATGAGAGAGATTTTGTGCAGACCAAGGTTAACACTGATATCTGAAGGTTACAAGTAAAGGACATGGTGGATTTTGACAATGTACTAAAACATGCTCCGTCTTGCAAGGTACATTTATGATTTTTTAAGTTATAATATATAAACACGTATGTTTCCATTCACTTTTTGATACTGTGGAAATATAAGAAATCTTAATATAGCCTAATGCTTCGTGCCACGATGGAGGCGCTTTTCGCCTCGCATCACTCGGAGGAGAGGATCCTCTGTATCCCAGATCGCTGAGCATCATGGCTGTGCGCGTCGCCTTGGTAAAAGCCCTTTCTAGACATGGATTGGCTATTTCCATACGAGCGTCACGACGCTCTTTCAGAAGACTGTACTGTGATAACAAATATATTCTGGAAATGTGTTTAACCTTAAAAATGTTATTGGGATTTTGATGATTCCTGGGCCCATATAGCATGTAAAGGGGGGAATAGCATCGAGGGAATGCAATTCACTGTTTGAAGATGAGGAGGAGAGGAGGTTATTATGCGAAGGTCATACAATACTCAGAATAGTGTAGGTCTGATGCATTACCTAAAGGCTTGTCAAATTCATGAGGAGCCAAAATAATCAGCTAATCCCATGCACACCTTTAGATTATTTGCTAATTCCTTTAAAACATTGAATAGGGCCTAAAAAGTATAAAATCATAAGGAAATGTACACATTTCTTTGTAATGATTACAATTTGATGCCACAATTCAAGGATGTAACTTAGTCCTAGATACATAACAGTATGAAGATATTGTATATTTGCATGGGTTTTCATCCCAACGTCTTTCTCCTCCTATTTTTAGTATGAACATTTATTACAGTTAAGTATGTCCCCCTGATCAGAGAGCCACCCCACTACTAAGCAGTTAGAGAAGCCATAACATCCTAAATCAATAAACTACAAATCAATAGACCTCTTATAAATAAATTATATGTCTGTTTTTTTGTTTTGTTTGATTTTTGTCCCAGTGAGGGAGGGGGTGGGTTTCCAGCAACTCCTATTGGCTCATTAATAATTCTCTTTGGTGCAAATTATATATCACATTTTTATGACGGAGTGAAATCCTGTCAAGATGCTGAAATTCTTACAATATGAGAGTTATTTTCAGACTTGGCTTTATAGTAATTTAAGGGGAATATCCTATTTGTCTCTGTTGGCAAATGTTCACAACTCAATGTTTAGATAGGATTGAATGATGTAAGAATATTCTCTACAAAACCCATTTTCTCCATCTTCTCCAGCCTTTAGGTGAATCCTACACTCCACATGCCAAAGCATCTTCCTCTTCACCCCCAAACGCTTGAGCTCTTCTTTCTATTTCTCTCCTTACAAATATCTGTTTCTATGGATTGGTATCCCCCCTATCATTTTGCTTGATTCTCTTTTGTCTTCTGGGGTTGTGAAACAGACCAGATTAAGGTGGAATAAACCACCGTCAAATCACATGACAAAAACATTTCCAAATGTTCTTTCACACATGCCCTGATATGGAGAATCATAGAAGGGGCAAAGGAGGGAGTGGCATGGGGGAACATTAATCTAAAAATCACATAGTCAAGCATTTCCTACCCTGGCCCTTTTCAAAGAAGTCCATCAGAGAATAATTGTTTTTTGAAGAATCAATACACTTCTATTACCACACATTATCATGGGGGACTTAGCCAATAGTTCGGTGGAGTTCAAACCCAAGAAGCGAGGTAGTGGAGGGGGAACAGAGGTCAACCATGCAGGGGACTTTGGGGCCACTCTGGAGGACCTGCGGGACCTCATGGAGCTGAGAGGTGCAGAGGCCATTCAGAAGATCCAGGAGAACTACACAGACACAGAGGGCCTCTGTCAGAGACTGAAGACATCCCCAGCCGATGGTGAGAGTCTCACTCAGACACACCACTCTCAGTGACATACTTCACTGGAAACATACAACACACCTTATTAGTCTACCTTACTAATCAAATTCAAACTGATAGGTCAAATCAACTGGATTTTTAATGAAGAACCAGTTGATGATATTTTATGCTATAGCGCTACTGCCATCGTGTTTGCATAGATGGTTTCTACCAGATGTCCTCATTTGTACTGTCCTCATCCACCTTGTTTTGTATCTGTATTTGTGCATTCCCAACTCAGTCTGCCCGAACATGCTTTCATGTTATGTTGCTAAGCTACAAAAGCATCAGCAATCTGGTGGGTGTGAGGCAGAGAGACAGACACCTCCTCTCATTCATCATGGCCTCCTGCAGCAAACATAAAATAGGCCTGAGGAGAGATGCTCAAACCACTATATGAGCATTTCATGTTTTCATCATATTGCTTTATTTTCCCCATTATAGTTTAAAATGATGTAATTTTGTCACTTTTTAGATGACGTTAAATGATACAAATGCCTACGATTCAACGCACCTCTAATATCTGCACACTTTTATGATGATTACAAAAATGTTTTTATAATTCAGTAGAGATACATGTAGGCTGTTTCAGTTAGAGAGATGAAGAGGAATTTGTTCATGAACCTGTCATTACCATGGCAACTGCGAGAATATTGTCTGAATGAGTAAAAGGTGACTTTTCACAGAGAGTCAGATGAATTATTAATTTGCATATCTCATCGCCCTGAGATGTTCCTGCTCACGTGTCTTCTTATCACCAGACTGTTTCACACATCATTTCTGAACTCGGTTATAGTGCGACTACATTTTGACTACCTCAACAAATGGGCTTGGGTGAAAAAGAGACAAATAAAGAGAGAGAGAGAGAGAGATGGCTGGGTTGCCAGTAGCAGCAGGTGACGTTTGGCAGGGGAGGACATGAGGTGTGTGTGCCAGAGCGCACACCCCACAGAGAAGCAGACACACACTGACTTAGCCATCTGGGCCGTTCCCACCCCATCTATCTCATTTTACTAAAAGAGCACCCAGCACCCAGTGTCAGCACTCAAACATTTATATGTCTGTTATATGATTCATGTGAGTGAGACTATTGAAATGTACATTTACAGACGTAATTGAAAGATGGCTTATGCTGTGTTCTGTCTGCTCTAATGTAGACATTTTGATAGCATTTTATTTTAATGCTCTGTCATAATACCTACACAAGGCTGTAAGAAACATGGCCTAAACTGTAATTATCTCAAGTTCTATGACCAATATAATGTAATGAATGTTTATGACAACAGTATTTCACATGGCCAGTTTCTAATATAAACCTATTATGAAGTGTTACACACTAACTTTCTGAAGCATGATGCACTGAAAAAGATTCAGATTCATGGCAGAGACCTGCAATTTCACAAATATTTGGTCGTATGTTGGCGTCCTGATAGAACATCCAAATAACATTTCACTCTACAATAATCTTCAACAGTTCCTTAGCTACCCCCTTACCTACTGAATTCACACGAGAATCTGATGCCCTCTAATAGCATTTAAAATTAAATCCAGTGAGGTGGATGAAGGGATGTCGCGCTCCATGTTTAGTAGCAGCATTCCCTGTCCTCTCTAGGCCTATCGGACAACCCGTCAGACCTAGAGAAGCGTGGCCAGGTGTTTGGCCAGAACTTTATCCCTCCTAAGAAGGCGAAGTCGTTCCTGGAGCTGGTCTGGGAGGCCCTACAGGATGTAACTCTCATCATCCTGGAGATAGCTGCCATCATCTCCCTCGCACTGTCCTTCTACCAACCGCCCGGAGAGGAGAGCGAAGGTAGGTGTGACTGACTGTCCAGGGATCAGACTTTGGCCTTCCGCATGCCTTAAGAAAGCATTAATTAGCCCTCTGAGCTAAAGCCTAGGCATTAGCTATGGGAGTTAACACACGTTTTCAGTTCTCTCAGTTAAGGTAACTCATCAGGTGAGCGGAGTTCCCTCTTCCCTCACTTCTCTGCCCTTTCTCTTTCTTTATTTCTCTCTCTGCTCTATCTTTCTTCCTATTTCTCTCTCTCCCTCTCTCTCTGCAGCTTGTGGGAATGTGGCATCCGGTGCGGAGGACGAGGGTGAGGCGGAGGCTGGCTGGATTGAGGGCGCGGCCATCTTGCTGTCCGTCGTCTGCGTAGTGCTGGTGACGGCCTTTAATGACTGGAGCAAGGAGAAGCAGTTCCGGGGGCTGCAGAGCCGTATTGAGCAGGAGCAGCGATTTGCCGTGGTGCGTAACGGCACTGTCATCCAGATCCCTGTGGCTGAAATGGTGGTCGGGGACGTGGCCCAAATCAAATACGGTCAGTCCAGGATCAGGAGAGGTCACCTGATGTAGTTTACCTGGTTAGACTATCTACGTAGCTACCTGTGTATAATGCATTTGTAGTTCCTTCGACTGTATCTTACCAAAGGTCTATTAAGAATCAAACATTCATAACAGCTCAACCATAAATGCATAAATAATACATTAAACATATCTGGTATTGTGTAGATTTCTTTTAAGCAGTCATAACAATGTTTGGATCCTTATGATTCCTTATAGATCCTTATAAGTCTCTGGTCCCTTGTCTCCTCCTGCTTCCGCTCCCACACAGGTGATCTCCTGCCTGCTGATGGGATTCTGATACAGGGCAATGACCTGAAGATCGATGAGAGCTCGCTGACCGGAGAGTCTGACCATGTAAAAAAGTCTGTTGACAAGGACCCCATGTTGCTGTCTGGTGAGTTGTTTGCATATAATACAGTAGTCATGTTACAGTCGGGAGACAGAGGCCATGCCAGTGGTGTTTTCCTCTGTGCAGTATGTGTGTGTGTGTGTCTGTGTGTATGTTTGTGTGTGCACACCCCCCAATGCAAAATCCCACTCATCCCACTGTATAAGCAAGTTTATAGTCTACTGCTCAAAGAGAGGGCAAAGAGGGGTGGGCTATCAGCTGATCATAGAGATTGTAGATTATGTAAATCAGCTAGTTAGCTAGCTAGCTAGTTAGCTATGCTGTCGAAACAATCTAACTAGTCTTTGATCCGTGATTGGAGTTTGTTCTGCTGCTGACACCTGCCTCTTAAGCCTACTAACAAACAGTCAAATTGAACCCTTCCCTGTTCCTGACCGTGAGATGACACATGCAACTCAAAACAGAGCCACTACTACACTACCGTTTGGCGCCGGTAGCTTCTGCCTGCAGTATGAGTGCTGTCAGTGCGCAGTCGGCAGAGGAGCGGGGGAGGGCGGATTTTCCATTATTCTAAAATGAGAAATTAGCAAGTTTGATGGGCAATTCATTTAAATAACAAGAGAGAAAATAGACTAAAAGTGAAATAAAATGTAATAATTAAAAGACGCCACCAATCTGAAAGGGCATTTTTCTCATAAGAGGGCAAAAAGGCAGGTGCTCAGCCACATTTAGACCTCTATCTGTGTACGTGCTTGTGCCTGTGTGTGTGTGTGTGTGTGTGTACTTTTGTTGTATGCATAACTGGTGATCTGCCTGAGTGAATGGCCTGCCTAGTGTCTCCGTGTGCTGGCTGCAGTGCCGAGAGGGGAAATCTCATTGCCTCTCCCAGTAAGAGAGTGACTCCTCCCTGGAGCCTGACAGGACTAATCAGATTGTAGCCCCTGGTCAGCATCCTGAGCACCGGGTCATGGATCCATTAGACCCACAGGGGACCCTCACTCATCCTCTACCCAATAATGATCCTCGGAACTGGACTACTCACTCCATAGGTCCACTAGGCTAGGTCTATGCAGAGATCTAAAAGAAGCATGCTGTTGTGATTGTGATATAGCAGCCTAATCCACATTGGTGACGGAGCCGAATAACAAATATTGAAAGTATTCAGATGCAGGTTTAGAAATATGTGTGATACGATTTCATCAAGCAATATACACAATTTTCCCAGTATGTATCTGTCACACTTACAGTGGGGAGAACAAGTATTTGATACACTGCCGATTTTGCAGGTTTTCCTACAAAAATCCAGAAAATCACATTGTATGATTTTTAAGTAATTCATTTGCATTTTATTGCATGACATAAGTATTTGATACATCAGAAAAGCAGAACTTAATATTTGGTACAGAAACCTTTGTTTGCAATTACAGAGATCATATGTTTCCTGTAGGTCTTGATCAGGTTTGCACACACTGCAGCAGGGATTTTGGCCCACTCCTCCATACAGACCTTCTCCAGATCCTTCAGGTTTCGGGGCTGTCGCTGGGCAATACGGACTTTCAGCTCCCTCCAAAGATTTTCTATTGGGTTCAGGTCTGGAGACTGGCTAGGCCACTCCAGGACCTTGAGATGCTTCTTACAGAGCCACTCCTTAGTTGCCCTGGCTGTGTGTTTCGGGTCGTTGTCATGCTGGAAGACCCAGCCACGACCCATCTTCAATGCTCTTACTGAGGGAAGGAGGTTGTTGGCCAAGATCTCGCGATACATGGCCCCATCCATCCTCCCCTCAATACAGTGCAGTTGTCCTGTCCCCTTTTCAGAAAAGCATCCCCAAAGAATGATGTTTTCACCTCCATGCTTCACGGTTGGGATGGTGTTCTTGGGGTTGTACTCATCCTTCTTCTTCCTCCAAACACGGCGAGTGGAGTTTAGACCAAAAAGCTCTATTTTTGTCTCATCAGACCACATGACCTTCTCCCATTCCTCCTCTGGATCATCCAGATGGTCATTGGACATGCGCTGGCTTGAGCAGGGGGACCTTGCGTGCGCTGCAGGATTTTAATCCATGACGGCGTAGTGTGTTACTAATGGTTTTCTTTGAGACTGTGGTCCCAGCTCTCTTCAGGTCATTGACCAGGTCCTGCCGTGTAGTTATGGGCTGATCCCTCACCTTCCTCATGATCATTGATGCCCCACGAGGTGAGATCTTGCATGGAGCCCCAGATCGAGGGTGATTGACCGTCATCTTGAACTTCTTCCATTTTCTAATAATTACGCCAACAGTTGTTGCCTTCTCACCAAGCTGCTTGCCTATTGTCCTGTAGCCCATCCCAGCCTTGTGCAGGTCTACAATTTTATCCCTGATGTCCTTACACAGCTCTCTGGTCTTGGCCATTGTGGAGAGGTTGGAATCTGTTTGATTGAGTGTGTGGACAGGTGTCTTTTATACAGGTAACGAGTTCAAACAGGTGCAGTTAATACAGGTGATGAGTGGAGAACAGGAGGGCTGCTTAAAGAAAAACTAACAGGTTGGTAGGTGATCAAATACTTATGTCATGCAATAAAATGCAAATTAATTACTTAAAAATCATACAATGTGATTTTCTGGATTTTTGTTTTAGATTCCGCCTCTCACAGTTGAAGTGTACCTATGATAAAAATTACAGACCTCTACATGCTTTTTTAAAGTAGGAAAACCTGCAAAATCGGCAGTGTATCAAATACTTGTTCTCCCCACTGAACCTCTCGTGTTGCTCATAAATCACTTGATGTTTGGGCCACCACACATTGGATGAATGCAAACTCTGTAAATGCTGTGGAATTTATCAGTTCCAGATGAAATACAGTCACTTTACTTGCTCTGACCATCTACATGCTGTAGTTTAGTGCACATGTTCATAACAGTCCCAAGCCATTACATATGTAAGCAATCATCAACATCAAACATATTTAGCAGTATTCTGAGCTATTCCACTCCCTGGTATTAGGCAGTGTTATTGAACAACCCCTGGTCTCTTGAGATAGAGTATTTTTATTAATGGGAACATAATGGAGCTCTGCTGTACAAAAGTAATTAGATCACCGGTCAGTAGGAAAAACAGGGGAAAGTGACCTTACACAGTGATTAAAAAAACAAACTACAGTAGCTACAGATTGGTGAGTGTAATTCTGCATTGCCTCTGGATTCCAACCTGCGTTCCCAATGGCACATGACACTCAAGCCAACCATGCAAACTCTAGAACAAGAGGCTGGCTTGTCACTCCAGGAATGAGAGTTTTAGGTCTCAGTGAAGATGATGTTACTGTGTAATGTGAACTTAGCAGTCCACTATATCTACATCATATAAATACATTTTCCGCAATAACCTTCTTTGAACAGCATATCGATCGCAAACGATATTAATGGAAATTCTCCCTTCTGTTTGAGGTGCGATATGATTAATACATTTAATTCGGAAAGTATTCAGACCCCTTCACTTTTTCCACATTTTGTTACGTTACTGCCTTATTCTAAAATGAATTACATGATTTTTCCCCTCATCAATCTACACACAATACCCCATAATGACAAAGCGAAAACAGGTTTTTAGAAATTGTAGCAAATTTATTAAAAATAAAAAACAGAAATATCTTATTTACATACTTATTCAGACCCTTTGCTATGAGACTCGAAATTGAGCTCAGGTGCATCCTGTTTCCATTGATCATCCTTGAGATGTTTCTACATCTTGATTGGAGTCCACCTGTGGTAAATTCAATTGATTGGACATGATTTGTAAATGTGATATTTCAGTTTTTTTTTTATACATTTGCAAAAATGTCTATAAACCAGTTTTTTTGCTTTGTCATTATGGGTTATTGTGTGTAGATTGATGAGGGAAAAACAAACAAACAATTGAATCCCTTTTAGAATAAGGCTGTAACATAACAAAATGTGGAAAAAGTGAAGGGGTCTGAATACTTTCTGAATGCACTGTATGTACTCTGTTTATTATAGTGTTGATCATTGTGAGTTATTCCCATGTCTATTTAGGAATTTAATCTTTGTGTCCCCTTAGGAACTCATGTGATGGAAGGCTCAGGAAAGATGCTAGTTACTGCTGTGGGGATCAACTCTCAAACTGGAATCATCTTCACTCTACTGGGGGCTGGAGAGGGGGAGGAGGAGGAGAAAGACAAGAAAGGTGAGATAATAAGGCAGGCAGAAGGTGTAATGTCCTTAAGACGTTGGGTATCATTTTTGTGAGTATGAAGCAAATATAGTACATTTGAAACTCAATACATATACCAGGGATACTTAAAATGGATATGAAGAGTTTCATTCCAAAACGCTATATATCCATTTTCAGAAATGTTGGTAAATTAGCTTTTTTGGGGGGGGCACTTATTAGAAGTGATTGGTGTGGTTTTTTTCCACATGCAATCATGGCATGGAGTTGTTCAATGACAGACAGAGAAAAACAATCACTCTCAGAGACAAAAGTAGCACTGCAAAGATTTACACAGTACAACTGTACAAATGATACATTTGTGACATCAATATTTTTTATATATTTTTTAAAGTGTATCAATACAGTAAAATGAGATCTTTGTTCTTGTTAAAAGTAGTGCACTATATGGGGAATAGGGTGCCATTTGGGGCGAGTCCTAACTCTAACCAAACACTGAGCCTGAGGCTGGATTTATGATGAGTTGAATTTATATGTTAAATATACAGCATACAAACATTCCATTCCAGCTAAACAATGGATATATAGTGTTTTGCAACAAAACCCATTTTAATACATATATAAAATCTATGAACAAAAAATCTGAGACCAGAAATATTTTACACACCCATAGGCATTCACTTCTGATGAAAAAACACAAATGTGAAAAATCTGTGCATATAGCGTTTTGGAAATTAACTCTTCATATATACACTACCAGTCAAAAGTTTGGACACACCTACTTATTCAAGGGTTTTTCTTTATTTTTAGTATTTTTTACATTGTAGAATAATAGTGAAGACATCAAAACAATGAAAGAACACATATGGAATCATGTAGTAACCAAAAAAGTGTTAAACAAATCAAAATATATCTTCAAATAGCCACCCTTTCCCTTGATGACAGCTTTGCACACTCTTGGTATTATCTCAACCAGCTTCATGAGGTAGTCACCTGGAATGCATTTCAATTAACAGGTGTGCCTTCTTAAAAGTTAATTTGTGGAATTTCTTTCCTTCTTAATGCGTTTGAGACAATCAGTTGTGTTGTGACAAGGTAGGGGGGGTATACAGAAGATAGCCCTATTTCGCAAAAGACCAAGTCCGTATTATGGCAAGAACAGCTCAAATAAGCAAAGAGAAATGACAGTCCATCATTACTTTAAGACATGAATGTCAGTCAATACGGAAAGTGTTAAGAACTTTGAACGTTTCTTCAAGTGCAGTCGCAAAAACCATCTAGCGCTATGATGAAACTGGCTCTCATGAGGACCGCCACAGGAATGGAAGACCCAGAGTTACCTTTGCTGCAGAGGATAAGTTCATTAGAGTTACCAGCCTCAGAAATTGCAGCCCAAATAAATGCTTCACAGAGTTCAAGTCACAGACACATCTCAACATCAACTGTTCAGAGGGGACTGTGTGAATTAGGCCTTCATGGTCAAATTGCTGCAAAGAAACCACTACTAAAGGACACCAGTAAGAGGAAGAGACCTGCTTGGGCAAGAAACACTAGCAATGGACATTAGACCAAATTGGAGATTTTTGGTTCCAACCGCCGTGTCTTTGTGAGACACGGTGTGGGTGAACAGATGATCTCCGCATGTGTAGTTCCCACCGTAAAGCATGGAGGAGGAGGTGTTATGGTGTGGGGGCGCTTTGCTGGTGACACTGTCTGTGATTTATTTAGAATTCAAGGCACACTTAACCAGCATGGCTACCACAGAATTCTGCAGCGATACGCCATCCCATCTGGTTTGGGCTTAGTGGGACTATCATTTGTTTTTCAACAGGACAATGACCCAACACACCTCCAGGCTGTGTAAGGGCTATTTTACCAAGATGGAGAGTGATGGAGTGCTGCATCAGATTACCTGGCCTCCACAATCCCCCGACCTCAACCCAATTGAGATGGTTTGGGATGAGTCGGAACACAGAGTGAAGGAAAAGCAGCCAACAAGTGCTCAGCATATGTGGGAACTCCTTCAAGACTGTTGGAAAAGCATTCCAGGTGAAGCTGGTTGAGAGAATGCCAAGAGTGTGCAAAGCTGTCATAAAGGCAAAGGTTAGCTATTTGAAGAATCTCAAATATAAAATATATTTTAATTTGTTTAACACTTTTTTGGTTACTACATGATTCCATATGTGTTATTTCATAGTTTTGATGTCTTCACTATTATTCTACAATGTAAAAAATAGTAAAAATAAAGAAAAATCCTTGAATGAGTAGGTGAGTCCAAACTTTTGACTGGTACTGTACATGGATGTATTTACATGTGATTGACTTACGATGTCTGTTTCTTATACTGTTTATTCACAGACAGACGTACAGTGGGGGAAAAAAGTATTTAGTCAGCCACCAATTGTGCAAGTTCTCCCACTTAAAAAGATGAGAGAGGCCTGTGATTTTCATCATATGTACACGTCAACTATGACAGACAAATTGAGAAAAAAATATCCAGAAAATCACATTGTAGGATTTGTAATGAATTTATTTGCAAATTATGGTGGAAAATAAGTATTTGGTCACCTACAAACAAGCAACATTTCTGGCTCTCACAGACCTGTAACTTCTTCTTTAAGAGGCTCCTCTGTCCTCCACTCGTTACCTGTATTAATGGCACCTGTTTGAACTTGTTATCAGTATAAAATACACCTGTCCACAACCTCAAACAGTCACACTCCAAACTCCACTATGGCCAAGACCAAAGAGCTGTCAAAGGACACCAGTTGTAGACAATTGTAGACCTGCACCAGGCTGGGAAGACTGACTCTGCAATAGGTAAGCAGCTTGGTTTGAAGAAATCAACTGTGGGAGCAATTATTAGGAAATGGAAGACATACAAGACCACTGATAATCTCCCTCGATCTGGGGCTCCACGCAAGATCTCACCCCGTGGGGTCAAAATGATCACAAGAACGGTGAGCAAAAATCCCAGAACCACACGGGGGGACCTAGTGAATGACCTGCAGAGAGCTGGGACCAAAGTAACAAAGCCTACCATCAGTAACACACTACGCCGCCAGGGACTCAAATCCTGCAGTGCCAGACGTGTCCCCCTGCTTAAGCCAGTACATGTCCAGGCCCGTCTGAAGTTTGCTAGAGTGCATTTGGATGATCCAGAAGAGGATTGGGAGAATGTCATATGGTCAGATGAAACCAAAATAGAACTTTTTGGTAAAAACTCAACTCGTCGTGTTTGGAGGACAAATAATGCTGAGTTGCATCCAAAGAACACCATACCTACTGTGAAGCATGGGGGTGGAAACATCATGCTTCGGGGCTGTTTTTTCTGCAAAGGGACCAGGACGACTGATCCGTGTAAAGGAAAGAATGAATGGGGCCATGTATCGTGAGATTTTGAGTGAAAACCTCCTTCCATCAGCAAGGGCATTGAAGATGAAACGTGGCTGGGTCTTTCAGCATGACAATGATCCCAAACACACCGCCCGGGCAACGAAGGAGTGGCTTCGTAAGAAGCATTTCAAGGTCCTGGAGTGGCCTAGCCAGTCTCCAGATCTCAACCCCATAGAAAATCTTTGGAGGGAGTTGAAAGTCCGTGTTGCCAAGCGACAGCCCCAAAACATCACTGCTCTAGAGGAGATCTGCATGGAGGAATGGGCCAAAATACCAGCAACAGTGTGTGAAAACCTTGTGAAGACTTACAGAAAATGTTTGACCTGTGTCATTGCCAACAAAGGGTATATAACAAAGTATTGAGAAACTTTTGTTATTGACCAAATACTTATTTTCCACCATAATTTGCAAATAAATTCATTAAAAATCCTACAATGTGATTTTCTGGATTTTTTTTCCTCATTTTGTCTGTCATAGTTGACGTGTACCTATGATGAAAATTACAGGCCTCTCTCATCTTTTTAAGTGGGAGAACTTGCACAATTGGTGGCTGACTAAATACTTTTTTCCCCCACTGTATATAAGTATCATGAATTGGCAGTTTCAATAGGTGTGTTGAAGAGATGCTCCATTTAGCTGTGTCATTCAAGGCCTGATGTTACTTCTGCTTAAGAGAAAGAGAGAGCAAAGCATCTCTGAGCTGTACAGTGTGCATTTACAGTACATGGGCAGAGACTTTTCTCCCCGTCTCCCTCTCCTTGATATGAAGAGGGGTAGCTAGCTGTTTAATAATTATATCTAAAAGCATAGGAGTCTGCAAAGCGATCAGTACTTGAATGGAAAGAGGGAGAGCACGATGGAGATGGGGTTACACAGAGGGGGAAGCCTCTGGTTAGGACCAAGCTTCACAATGAAGATCATAGAAAGACATGATGCAATTGTTTACTTATTTGCTGCTCCTGAGGTCTCATTCATTCATTTTTATTCATTCCTTGTTTGTTGTTTCTGTTGCTCATCCTTTTTACTGTTTTGATTGTTTTTGTCTCTTAATTTGATAAAATCTCTTATTGTCCCTGTCCCTATCTCAAATCCCAAACCACTATCTCATCAGAGGGCAATAATACCCCTGCAGTCGAAGCAAAACAGATCAGCATCACGAATGGTAGGTGTTTCCCCTACTAGACTAGTTAGATTGGTGAAGGGGTTTGCTAGAGATATTCCATGGGACTCCCATGGGAAATTGTGGACCCCTAATGTAATTGAAAGAAAATTACAAACTGTAAAATATTTTGAAAAGTACGTTTAACATGTTGATATAAGTCATGGCGATTTCTTCACACGTTTCTGTCACTTTCATTTTGTCTATTCATTTTCCCATTCGATTTTTACTCCTTTAGGGGGGTTAAAATGGGAGCGATGTTTGCCTCCCATGCAGCAATATGTCTGTCACATTCAGCTGTATCAGTCTAGATATTTCTCTCTCTCTCTCGCTTAATCACAGGCAAGCAAGATGGGACACTGGAAAACAATCAGAACAAAGGTAAGAAACGGGGATTCCAAGGCAGAGGAATCATCCCTAATTTCAAGTAGGCTACTTTATATAAATCGTTTGGGAAACAATGCAAACAACAGATGGTTTAAGGTAATAATTTATACAAAATATTTTAAAACATTTTACTTCTCAAATAAGATGGAAGCAATATCTTGATTTATGTAGAACCAACCTGGGGGAAGCATGGCAGCCATTTTGTGCCGGAACGCTCACTACACCTCTTGGCTTTTCTCTAACCCGTCCTAACCACTCCCTAACGTTGTGACAACCCCCAACCTTAGCCAAGAAACAGGATGAGGCTGTTGCCATGGAGATGCAGCCCTTGAAGAGCGCTGAAGGTGGGGAGGTGGAAGCGGAGAAGAAAAAGGGCAACGTACCTAAAAAAGAGAAGTCTGTGCTCCAGGGCAAACTCACTAAACTGGCCGTGCAGATCGGGAAGGCAGGTGAGGGCTGACTAAAGCGTTCAGCGTTCATAATCTAATTTTTGCTGGCCTGCTTGTTCACTCTGACTTGACCTGTGTATGCACAAGGTTGGCTAGCAGTGCATACTCGACTGCTGACAAACTCTTCACATGTTCCTTTGATCTAAGCAGCCATGTCTGTGTGTCTGTCTGTCCTCTTCCTCAGGTCTGGTCATGTCAGCCATCACAGTGATCATCCTGGTGATGTACTTTGTGATCGAGACCTTTGTGGTGCAGGGCCGGGAGTGGCTCACTGAGTGTACCCCCGTCTATGTGCAGTACTTTGTCAAGTTCTTCATCATCGGCGTCACAGTGCTGGTGGTGGCTGTGCCTGAGGGGCTGCCGCTGGCTGTCACTATATCACTGGCCTACTCTGTCAAGGTAAGGGTAATAAACTGTGTGTGTGTCTGTGCGCGCACTGCTGCAGACATTGTGACGATCATGTTAAATCACGTTTTTGCTCGAATATCCCCCATGTGGCAAAATCAAGGTACGATTACACTATAAAGTATATTGTGCATGCAGCTGAATTGTATTGTAGTTTCTCAGGTGTAGGCCAAACAGTAAGATTCCTCTCCGTCTGTTTCCTCCTCCTTCCCTGTAGAAAATGATGAAGGACAATAACTTGGTGCGCCACCTGGATGCCTGTGAGACCATGGGCAACGCCACGGCCATCTGCTCCGACAAGACGGGCACCCTCACTACTAACCGCATGACCGTGGTGCAGGCCTACGCGGGCGACCAGCACTTCCACAAGGTCCCGCACCCTGACCAGATGAATCCTAAGGTGCTGGACACGCTCGTCAATGCCATAGCTGTCAACAGCGCCTACACCTCCAAGATTATGGTGAGAGATTGTGGATTATGAAAGATAGATAGATACCTGCACACTGTTGAATGCTCCCACATTTGTATTTTGGATAATATCTGCAATGCGGAATGACACAGCTTTTTTATTTTATGGTTATCCAGTTTATTTTAGTTGAAGACATTTAATGGCCATTTGGATGGAAATGTATTTTGTTCATGTCAACACAACATATATAAACCATTCATAGAATTCAGAATGTACATACACATTGTATCTCCATACTTTTTATTGTCCTTCTTGTCCTTGACTCATTTCGCCCAGTCTCCTATTCTCTCTTTTTTCCTCCACATGTATTGAGCAAAAACATGGTATCTTCATCTTTTATCCCTTAGCCCCCGGATAAGGAGGGAGGCCTACCCAAGCAGGTGGGCAACAAGACAGAGTGTGCCCTACTTGGCTTCATCCTGGACCTGAAGAGGGACTATGCCCCTGTGAGGGAACAGATCCCTGAGGAGAAGCTCTACAAGGTCTACACCTTCAACTCTGTGCGCAAGTCCATGAGCACGGTGGTTCAGCTGCCTGATGGATCCTTCCGCCTCTACAGCAAGGGGGCCTCTGAGATCCTGCTCAAGAAGTGAGTCTGACTCTGGAGACTGCCTGCCTTGTGATGACAAGTAGCAAAAGTAGTTTCTCTGTGAATCACGCATACAAATAAAGGGCTCTATTCAATCCGTATTGCTGAACTCAACTACCTCAACTAGTCGGTGCCCCCGCACATTGACTCTGCACCGGTACCACCCCTGTATATAGCCTCCCTACTGTTATTTTATTTTACTTCTGCTCTTTTTTTCTCAACACTTTTTTGTTGTTGTTGTTTTATTTTACTTTTTTATTAAGAAATAAATGCATTGTTGGTTAAGGGCTGTAAGTAAGCATTTCACGGTAATGTCTACACCTGTTGTATTCAGCGCATGTGGCAAATAAAATTTGATTTGATTTGATTTGAAGCGTGATAGAATTGTAAAGGTAAATTCCGATTGAGCCGAGATATGCAGCATTTACCGTGAATGAAGTCTCCTCTAACGCGGTAAAATTGCCTTTAAATTAAAACCACGCTGTAACGCTGAACTTCTGCGATACAGATTGAATTGAGCCCAAAGTTGGATTTGATTTCAGGCAACAGCTTTTGATAGAGAAAGGGGTGGTGGGGGCCTCAAGATAAAGTGGGCCTTGAATGAGGATTGATGAACAAAACAAAACGACTAACATTAATATTGTGCCCTAATATACAGAGCATCTGTGTCCTGACTCTCTGTCTGTCAGATGCTCCTCTATCATGGCTGGCGGTGGCGATCCACGTGGTTTCCGCCCGCGGGACAGGGACGAGATGGTGAAGAAGGTGATCGAGCCTATGGCCTGCGACGGCCTGCGCACCATCTGCGTGGCCTACAAGGACCTGCCGGCCATCCCTGAGCCCGACTGGGAGGACGAAGCGGGCATCGTCAATGACCTCATCTGTATCACAGTGGTGGGCATCGAGGACCCTGTCCGCCCAGAGGTAAACAAGACCTTACACAGAGGGATTCTCTATTGGGGTGCATTTTTTTTTTACAGATGCAGGTAGATTTGGAGTGGAGTTTTTCCACGGGGATGACAACTGCCTGTTTCTTGCTCTTCATTTCAAGTGGATAATTCTGTTGACAAATGTCTAAATAAGAACTTGTAAAAACATAGGATTAGAGAGGGGAGAACCATGCCCTTATGGAAGGGCTGGCACAGTAGGATGACACAACAGGTTTGTTATACTGTAGGTATAGTTATAGGTATTGTAATCTCTCATGGACAGACGCACATAACATAAATGGCACTGTAGTGTCTGTCAACAGACTGTGGGATGCGACAACTAACAAGGAACTTTGTTCCAGTGCCTTGATTTTTCGTCACTGATCATTTGGACAAATCACAATGTCGCAAGATTTTTATTCTGTGTTTCCAAATTATAGGTTTTGTTGTAGGTTTAGTACATATTCAGTAATTGCTCTGTAGGATGATGTACATCAGCTAGTAAGAGGAGGTGCCAAGGCTTTAGCAAAACTCTGGTGTCTTTTTATTAACCAGGTCCCAGATGCTATCAAGAAATGCCAGCGGGCAGGTATCACCGTGCGTATGGTAACAGGTGACAACATCAACACAGCACGCGCCATTGCTGCCAAGTGTGGCATCATCCAGCCTGGGGATGACTTCCTGTGTATAGACGGAAAGGAATTTAACCGACGAATCAGAAATGAGAAAGGAGAGGTAGAATTCATAATTCATGTATTGTTTGACACTCTTTTACTGACTAAAAATGCAAGTGCCCTGACTCAATTCATTAGCTTCAATAACTCAGTGTTACATGACTCAACAGTTTATGTGGATACCCCTATAATACAATCTTTCTTTCTTACAGGTTGAGCAGGAGCGCATTGACAAGGTTTGGCCCAAACTGAGAGTTCTGGCTAGGTCCTCGCCTACAGACAAACATACACTGGTCAAAGGTGGGTCAGAGATACTCCACTCAAAGCTACAGTACTGTTTTTGCAAAAAGTTTGTAAACCATGCAGCTGTATAATTTCCAATGATAACTTTCTCTCCCTGCAGGCATCATAGACAGCACCGTACTGGAGCAGCGGCAGGTAGTGGCTGTGACAGGGGACGGAACAAACGACGGACCTGCCCTGAAGAAGGCCGATGTTGGCTTTGCCATGGTGAGACATCATAATGATGATTATGATGATGATGATGACACAAATCTTTAGTCATTTTAGTACATTTGGGAAAATATTAAATCCCATACTTAACACTACATTTCCCTAAATGTACCCTATGTATTTACATTATAGTTACATAAGCATGGTATGTACTTTAGTATTGTTACATTAGTACTTACATTACTGCTATGTAACTATCATGCACATAAATAGGTATTAGTGACATGTATAGTTTTTTTTTATGTGAGACCTGTGAAAGCAGGGGGTGAATACTTTTCAAAGCAGTGTACTTTTAAAGTGGATATTTTTTGTGGCTCTGTGTAGGGCATTGCTGGTACCGACGTAGCCAAGGAAGCCTCTGACATCATCCTGACTGATGACAACTTCTCTAGCATTGTGAAGGCGGTCATGTGGGGCCGTAATGTCTATGACAGCATCTCCAAGTTCCTCCAGTTCCAGCTCACTGTCAACGTGGTGGCTGTCATCGTGGCCTTCACCGGCGCCTGTATCACACAGGTATTTACTCCATCTCTGACTCTCGCACTCCACACCACATCACAATTCACTGTTGTGTAAACTCCAAATAGACCACTTACTGTAAGTAACTCACTAGTAAATGGTCATGGATTTAGGTAACGGTCTATGGACATTCCAAACAAGCTTTAAAGCAAAATTATCTCTCCCCACCTCTTTTTCTCTCCTTACCTCTCTGCCTCTCTCCTTATTACCTCCCTCTCTCTGCCTGCCTCCTCCCCTCTCTCTGCCTCTTTCTCTTTCTCTCCCTCTACCTCCCTCTCTCCTTACCTCTCCTTCTCCATACCCCCTCCCTCTCTCTCCCCCCTCCAGGACTCTCCCCTGAAGGCTGTCCAGATGTTATGGGTGAACCTGATCATGGACACCTTTGCCTCCCTGGCACTAGCCACCGAGCCGCCCACTGAGTCCCTGCTCTTGAGGAAGCCTTATGGCCGCAACAACCCCCTCATCTCCCGGACCATGATGAAGAACATCCTGGGCCACGCCATCTACCAGCTCACCATCATCTTCACCCTGCTGTTCGCGGGTACGCACAAGGGAGGAGGAGGTGGGAGGCTGGAGACTAGGGGGGAGGGGAGGAGGGCTGCAGGTAGAGGTGGGAGACGGAGACTGGAGATGGGAGGAGGGATGGAGGCTGGAGATGGGAGGAGGGACGGAGACTGGAGGAGGGACGGAGGCTGGAGGTGGGAGGAGGGACGGAGACTGGAGGAGGGACGGAGGCTGGAGGTGGGAGGAGGGACGGAGACTGGAGGAGGGACGGAGGCTGGAGATGGGAGGAGGGACGAAGACTGAGATGGGAGGAGGGACGGAGACTGGAGGATGGGAGGAGGGATGGAGGGACGGATGGAGGAGGGACGGAGACTGGAGGGGGACGGAGACTGGAGTGGGAGGGAGGGACGGGACGAGATGGAGGAGGGACGGAGGCTGGAGATGGGAGGAGGGACGGAGGACTGGAGATGGGAGGAGGGACGGAGACTGGAGATGGGAGGAGGGACGGAGACTGGAGATGGGAGGGACGGAGTGGAAGGGACGGAGACTGGAGATGGGAGGAGGGACGGAGCTGGAGATGGGAGGAGGGACGGAGACTGGAATGGTGAGGAGGGACAGGACGGAGATGGGAGAGACTGGAGGTGGGGAGGAGGGACGGAGACTGGAGATGGGAGGAGGGACGGAGACTGGAGATGGGAGGAGGGACGGAGACTGGAGTGGGAGGAGGGACGGAGGCTGGAGATGGGAGGAGGGACGGAGGCTGGAGATGGGAGGAGGGAAGGAGACTGGAGATGGAGGAGGGACGGAGACTGGAGATGGGAGGAGGGACGGAGGCTGGAGATGGGAGGAGGGACGGAGGCTGGAGATGGGGGGAGGGACGGAGGCTGGAGATGGGAGGAGGGACGGAGACTGGAGATGGGAGGAGGGACGGAGAATGGAAATGGGAGGAGGGAAGGAGACTGGAGATGGGAGGAGGGACGGAGACTGGAGATGGGAGGAGGGACGGAGGCTGGAGATGGGACGAGGGACTGAGGCTGGAGATGGGACGAGGGACGGAGACTGGAGATGGGACGAGGGACGGAGGCTGGAGATGGGAGGAGGGACGGAGGCTAGAGATGGGAGGAGGGACGGAGACTGGAGATGGGAGGAGGGATGGAGGCTGGAGATGGGAGGAGGGACGGAGACTGGAGATGGGAGGAGGGACGGAGACTGGAGATGGGAGGAGGGACGGAGACTGGAGATGGGAGGAGGGACAGAGACTGGAGATGGGAGGAGGGACGGAGACTGGAGATGGGAGGAGGGACGGAGACTGGAGGTGGGAGGAGGGACGGAGACTGGAGGTGGGAGGAGGGACGGAGACTGGAGGTGGGAGGAGGGACGGAGACTGGAGATGGGAGGAGGGACGGAGACTGGAGATGGGAGGAGGGACGGAGACTGGAGATGGGAGGAGGGACATGGACTGGAGATGGGAGGAGGGACAGAGGCTAGAGATGGGAGGAGGGACGGAGGCTGGAGGTGGGAGGAGGGATGGAGACTGGAGGTGGGAGGAGGCTGGAGATGGGAGGAGGGACGGAGACTGGGGGTGGGGGAAGAGGAACAGAGGCTGGAGATGGGAGGAGGGACGGAGGCTGGAGGTGGGAGGAGGGACGGAGGCTGGAGGTGGGAGGAGGGATGGAGCCTGGAAGTGGGAGGAGGCTGGAGATGGGAGGAGGGATGGAGACTGGGGGGGGGGGGGTGGGGGTGGGGGGAGGAGGGACGGGGGATGTATGTAAAGGCAATGGTGAGGGACAAGAAGGTTGAAGAAAAGCAGTCATGGAACTGTAGTGCTCTATTTAGCTCGTAGCATTTTACATGATCATTTAGTATACCTTTGCAAGGAGGAAGTATATCTTTGACTATATGTGACTCTATTGTCCGCTTGTCTTTTTTGTGTTCCTCTCCATCTCAGGAGAAAAGATCTTCAACATTGATAGTGGACGCAACGCCCCTCTGCACTCTCCCCCCTCCGAGCATTACACAATCATCTTCAACACCTTTGTGCTCATGCAACTGTTCAACGAGATCAATGCCCGCAAGATCCACGGTGAAAGGAACGTTTTTGACGGCATATTCCACAACCCTATTTTCTGCAGTATTGTGCTGGGGACTTTTTTAATGCAGGTAAGAGGACCACAAGCGTTTCCTTCTTATATGTTCAGGAATGGGCAACTTTGGTGGGGGTGGGGGCCACAAAAATTCTGAACTCATCATGAGGGGCCGTAGTTGCTCACGGGTCTACGTACCCACATCCATACCCCCCCCCCCCCCCCCACATTGCGAGCAAAACATTTTAGTGGCCCCCTCTTGAAATGTAAAGTTAATTTTGTGCAATTCTACACATTTTGCCATGGGGTGTAGAGAAAATGTTGCAGTTTTAAAGCAAGTTTGCTGTAACTACACATTTTGCTATGGGTGGAAAGAAGATTTTGAAAATGTATAACTCATTTCATGCAATTCTACTCATTTTGCCATGGGGCGGAGAGAAAAATGAGCTGTTTTTAATATGACATCTGAGTGAGACTGACAATAAAAATCAATGGGGGCCCCCCGGCCGGTAATTCAACTATGATAACAAGTTTAGATAGCTGGCCGCTAAACTATATTAGCAATCTAAAAAAATTTTGCTGACATGGGCTAATTGACTGACTATCAGTGACTGACAAGAGAAAAACTGCTGATGCACAACCAAATTTCGAAATTGCACCCTTTGTATTCTGCTATTCTCACAGAAAGTTGAGACCCCGCCTGAGTTCCTACAAAAATTATATTCCGCGGGCCTTCAAAAGGGGGGCATGCGTCCCGTGGGCCGCCAGTTGCCCATCCCTGCTTTACGTTATAGCAATACTAGTAATGTTATTCAACCATGTCATATACTGTACCCAATAGTCATTACTACTTAATTATTGTCTCACAGGATATGTTGTGCTAACCAATGGCAACCACTTTTTGTGATCAAATCTCTCTCGTCCTGTGTCTTGTTCTGTACAGTTTGTGATTGTGCAGTTTGGGGGGAAACCTTTCAGCTGCACACCGCTCAATGTGGAGCAGTGGCTGTGGTGTCTGCTCGTGGGAGTAGGAGAGCTACTGTGGGGACAGGTACTTATGCTGGAGTTAATGTGTAAATGTGTTACCCAAACTGTGGTTCTACAGTGGTTTTGTGTCAAGACCCAATTAAGGCTTTTGACATAGACAAACCCACATATCCATAACCTAGTCTTTAGTTGGCTTTGACACAAGAAGGACTGCCTAAGACCCGCCAGACCGAAACCCTTTGCTTTAGAAGTTGTGTTCTTCTCCTTGTCAACTAACGCTGACCCTGACCCAAACAGCTCATCACCACGGTGCCCACCAGCCGCCTGCCCTGTTTGAAGGAGGCGGGTCATGCGCTCGGTAAGGAGGAGATGATTGATGACGACATGGCAGATGATGAGCAAGAGATTGACCATGCTGAGAGGGAGCTGCGTCGAGGGCAGATCCTCTGGTTCAGGGGCCTCAATCGCATTCAGACTCAGGTACAGTACATTGGGCTCCACCATTCTCTGTCCCTTACCTTTCCCCAACAAGGGCTCTAGTATGTACTGTACTGTCCTACGAAGAGGAGGCTTTTTGCATGCTCGACTCATCTCTGTTGATTTGTGTAACACTTTATTCACCTTTTGATGCCTTAATTCATTTCACCACAATTAATTCCTTGGTTTTTTATATGATATGAACACAGTCATATGAACAGAGTAAAACATGCACATAATATTCTCATTCGAAAAAGTTATTTATAATACAATGGGTTTGGATCATTCTGTAAGATACCAAAATACGTTTTCTTATACAGTGTCTTCAGAAAGTATTCACACCCCTCTACGTTTTCCACATTTTGTTGTGTTACAGCCTGAATTTTGTGTACCTGCCCTACAGACAATACCCCACAATGTCAAAGTGGAATTTTGGTTTTAGAATTTTTTACAAATTAATTAAAAATGAAAAGCTGAAATGTCTTGAGTCAATAAGTATTCAACCCCTTTGTTATGGCAAGCCTAAATAAGTTCAACAGTAAAATTGTGCTTAACAAATCACATAAGTTGCATGGACTCATTCTGTGTTCAATAATAGTGGTTAATGTGATATTTTAAATTACTACCCAGCTCTGTAACCCACACATACAATTATCTGTAAGGTCCCTCAATCAAGTAATGATTTTCAAGCACAGATTCAACCACAAAGACCAGGGAGGTTTTCCAATGCCTTGCAAAGAAGGGCACCCAGTCACTACAAAGATACAGCCGTCCTTCCTAACCTTCCTTCCAGTTGCCGGAGAGGAAGGAAACCGCTCAGGAATTTCACCATAAGGCCAGTGGTGATTTTAAAACAGTTACAGAGTTTAATGGTTGTGATATGAGAAAATTGAGGATGGATCAACAACATTGTAGTTCCTCCACAATACTAACCTAATTGACAGAGTGAAAAGAAGGAAGCCTGTACAGAATCAAAAATGGAATTCTTAAGTAATACTAAAACAAATGTGGTTAAGAAATTAACTTCTTGTCTTGAAAACAAAGCGATTTGTTTTTGGCAGATCCAACACAACACATCACTGAGTACCACTCTTCATATTTTCAAGCATGGTGGTGGCTGCATCATGTTATGGGTATTCTTGTCATTGGCAAGGACTAGGGAGTTTTTTAGGATAACAAGAAATGGAATACAGCTAAGCACAGTTAAAATCCTATAGGAAAACCTGGTTCAGTCTGCTTTCCAATAGACACTGGGAGACAAATTCACCTTTCAGCAGGACAATAACCTAAATCTCAAGGCCAAATCTACACTTGAGTTGCTAACCAAGATGACTTTGTTGAATGTTCCTGAGTGGCCTAGTTACAGTTTTGACTTAAATCGGCTTGAAAATCTATGGCAAGACTTGAAAATGTCTGTCTAGCAATGATCAACAGCCGACTTAAGAGAGCTTGAAGAATTTTTAAAAGAATAATGGGCAAATATTGTACAATCCAGGTGTGCAATGCTCTTGGAGACTTACCCCAAAAGACTCACAGCTGTAATCGCTGCCAAAGTTGTTTCTAACTCAGTGTTGTATTTTTTTAAATAAATGTTCACATTTTTCTTCCACTTTGACATTACAGAGTATTTTGTGTAGATCAATGACAAAACATTAGAATTAAATCAATTTTAATCCCACTTTGTAACACAACAAAATGTGGAAATATTTCTAGGGTTGTGAATACTTACTGAAGGCACTGTATTTATCGATAGGACAAACATAATTATTTATATTATTGTAACCTATAAGAGTAATTTTGATTCCATTGCATGTTCAGATATTTTTATTACAGATTCTGTCATTATTTTTGATGTATTCTTTGTTCATTGTCAATCCTCGTCACTGTGACACAGACAAGTATTCAATGATCTTACCTATCAATCCTAACAACAAGTATATGAAATATTTTACAAGAGTTGTAATTGTTGTCTTTCTTATACTCACACCAACATCTAGATGAGACAAATAGAATTAACATTACCAGTCCATGTTTTGAGGGCAACATCATTGATTTAAAACAGAGGTCTAAATTGGATTAGGATTGTCTATTAAAATGCTTTTTTGTATCTAATACATGCTTTTGATACCTTCATAGTGGAACATGACCTCTACAAAACTACAAGTTCTACTATACCATCCTTTTAAACGTGATTCATTCTGCCTGCTGGTTCCCTCCAATATGCACCACAGGGCCCCCTACCAGCTGACATGAGGTACTGCACGACTGTCATGTCCTTGCTTTAATATCCTCTCTCTCTTCTCCAACAGATGGAGGTAGTGAGTACCTTCAAGAGAAGTGGTTCCTTTCAGGGTGCTGCGCGTCGTCGCTCCTCAGTTCTCAGCCAACTCCATGACGTAACCAATATTTCTACTCCCACTCACGTAGTTCTCTCCAATGCAACTGGTGCGCCTGGGAGTGAGTTTCTGCCATCCATTAACGGCACACAACAAAAAACAGTCCACTCACCATCATCAAAATGAGCATGTTGAAATGCACCTTTGCCTGCCCAGAAATGCAATTAAGCATCAAAGATACGTGTGTTTGTCTATGTGTGTGTTTGTGTGTTGGGGGGTGGGGGAGTCAACACTGAGGCGCCTGACCCACTGACCTTTTCAGTTGACTTTTTGTGGTATTATTTGTTCATTTAATATTACATTTCTTTACATCCTTTTCACTACTACCTCATGATCTTAGTCCGGGATTCAATCAGATCCGTGCTAGCCGACAACCGCATAGCTCTTGTTCGAGTGTCAGGCTGCATACTCGTTTGTCTTCGTAATTCCGTGTAGACTACTTTGCTTCTTCAAACATGATCATTAGCTGGCCAGCAGTATTTAAGAATATAATTGCTTTTTATTGACTATATTATATTTTGTTTTATTTTAACCTATATTTTTTATGTATGAACATTTTATAGTTCTGAAAATGTTTTCTAATTTATGCTTTTCGAATGCACAAATAAGAAGAACATAGGCTATGTATTTCGTTGAATGATTTTACATTTGAGTGTCATTATTTTGATCATTGATATAGTCTACACATTATATCACCGTTTTGAACTACTAACGTGGTAGGGAAAGAGAGGGGGGGTTTGTGACAATGACCACAAGAGAAGCAGCTCACCAATTTGACTGCTCATACCCCAGTTATACCTCCAACAGCCTGAACAAGAGCCATGTGTTTGTCGGCTAACGCAGGTTACCGCTAATCTGATTTAATCCTGGCCGTAATCTATTTCTTTATCTTGCTGCTTTGTTTGGCTCGACGCAGTCTGTGATCAATTGTGTTTCAAACTGCCCAGAGAAGACTGTCTGTATGCTGCTTATTTTCAATGAGATCAACATTTTATTCAGAGCATTACAATGAAGCAGCCATGCCAATTTAAACAATTTCTTAGATGACAAACCAAGGTAAAAAGTGACACAAAAAAACATAAGAAAAATAGTAACATGTATTTTCAGTGTGTGCACTTCTGGAAAGTTGTAAACCTTCGAGTATAAGCCTGCAACAGTGACATTTCTGAGATATTACTTTTTGGTCACCTTACCAATACACATTTTTCTCTGTCCCTAGGTCCGATCAGACTGCCAAATAAGGATCTGCAGTGTTGCTTTGTACAAATAACTACCCTCATTTTACTTGGTCTCTTTCGTTGTCTCTCATCGTAGGTTCTGCATCTCATGACGGAAGACATTTTTATTTCCTTTCTATTTCCTAACATAGGCCTATTTTGTTTTGTGTCTTTTTGTCAGGTGTAGATGATTAAAAGACGCATTGTGATCTGATTGTGATCTGATCTTCCTGACCACCTCCGGTGGTAGTCAGGGTTCCATTGTATCTGGATATCAATCAAGTGTAAACAGATCTGGATGGTCAAACCATTTAAATCATCAATATATCGGCCGCTAAAATCATTGACAGCTAGCACCATTGACTTATGGCATCAATAATTGTCTTAAAAATAAATACATTCATATTATTGTGAAAGAATGTCTGTCAAATTTCTATGTTTTAACCCCTGTCCTATGTTTCTGTTTCTATGTTTTTACCCTTGTCCTATGTTTCTGTTTCTATGTTTTTACCCCTGTCCTATGTTTCCGTTTCTATGTTTTTACCCCTGTCCTATGTTTCTGTTTCTATGTTTTTACCCCAGTCCTATGTTTCTGTTTCTATGTTTTTACCCCTGTCCTATGTTTCTGTTTCTATGTTTTTACCACTGTCCTATGTTTCCGTTTCTATGTTTTTACCCCTGTCCTATGTTTCTGTTTCTATGTTTTTACCCCTGTCCTATGTTTCTGTTTCTATGTTTTAACCCCTGTCCTATGTTTCTGTTTCTATATTTTAACCCCTGTCCTATGTTTCTGTTTCTATGTTTTTACCCCTGTCCTATGTTTCTGTTTCTATGTTTTTACCCCTGTCCTATGTTTCCATTTCTATGTTTTTACCCCTGTCCTATGTTTCTGTTTCTATGTTTTTACCCCTGTCCTATGTTTCTGTTTCTATGTTTTAACCCCTGTTCTATGTTTCTGTTTCTATGTTTTTACCCCTGTCCTATGTTTCTGTTTCTATGTTTTAACCCCTGTCCTATGTTTCTGTTTCTATGTTTTAACCCCTGTCCTATGTTTCCGTTTCTATGTTTTTACCCCTGTCCTATGTTTCTGTTTCTATGTTTTTACCCCTGTCCTATGTTTCTCATGGCTTTATGAAGACTATGAATCACATTCAAATTCATCTGATCTCTAGCTGAATGTATTTGTTTAGAAAAAGGATTCATGAAGAAAATCCTAAATGTTGTGTCAGGGTTGGGGTAATTTCAACTGAATTCAATTCAGGAATAGAGTTCAGTCATTATTCTGTGTACGTTGATGGATGGTCCATTATCTTCACTGAGAATTGTTTTACCAATACCATGAATTTAATGTCCAATTTGTTCCCTGAATTGACTGAGTGGAAATGAATTGAGCCCAACCCTGACTTGCGTAATTTGTTTGCATTATTATCATTAATACCTGTCTGTCCTCCCCTCCAGCACCCTCTCTTCCTTTGTCTAGTGTTAAGTCTGGAGCGTCCATGGGATTCAACCTCCACCCAAAAAAAACTGGCATTCTCATTTTCTTCTCAAAGTTAGGTGTCCCATTTAAAAGAAACCAAGTGAACACATTGACTTGAATAATATTTCATTTTCAACAGCTGTTTGGTATTGACCATTGAGGGCACTATACTCGAAAGTTTACAAATTCCGTCAGGGGACATTAATTCAGAGGGTACCTAAGAATGTTTTATTTTCGAAATAATTGACTTAATGGGAACAAACAACTCGTAGGAGAGAAAACAAATGAGCAGAAGTCAACCTTAACAGTGTCTCTGTGTTGCCTCACTCCCTCATCACAACACAGTTATTGAGTCATGTCGCTTCTTGTCCAAGATCTTTGTGGTCATTTTCAGAGGTACAACGGGTCTTTTTTTGGTTGTGCTTGCTACAAAAGTTGGTCTTTTTGGATGTGCTTGCTGAAGAAATTGTTTTTTTATGGCCATGCTTGCTTGGGTAATAAACAAACAAATATTTTTGTTTGTGCAAACTGAAGTACAGTACACTGAGCAAACAGGAATAAGGACCTAAGCATAATTCCTAATGCTCACCCAAAACTCAGACTTTCGCGCAAATCTCCCTTTTTAAATCAGCGCATGATTTAAACAAGGGTTACTTGCATGTACACTATATATACAAAAGTATGTGGACACCCCTTCAAATTGGTGGATTCGGCTATTTCAGCCACACCCGTTGCTGACAGGTGTATAAAATCAAGCACACAGCCATGCAATCTCCATAGACAAACATTGGCAATAGAATGGCCTTACTGAAGAGTTCAGTGACTTTCAACTTGGCACCGTCATAGGATGCCACCTTTCCAACAAGTCAGTTTGTCACATTTCTGCCCTGCTAGAGCTGCCCCGGTCAACTGTAAGTGCTGTTATTGTGAAGTGGAAATGTCTAGGAGCAACAACTGCCCAGCCGTGAAGTGGTAGGCCACACAAGCTCACAGAACGGCACCGCCGTGTGCTGAAGCGCATAGCGCATAAAAATTGTCTGTCCTTGGTTGCAACACTCACTACCGAGTTCTAAACTGCCTCTGGAAGCATCGTCAGCACAATATCTGTTCATCGGGAGCTTCATGAACTGGGTTTCCATGGCCGAGCAGCCGCACATCTTGCGCAATGCCATGCATCGGCTGGAGTGGTGTAAAGCTTGCCGTCATTAGACTCTGGAGCACTAGAAATGCGTTCTCTGGAGTAATGAATCATGCTTCACCATCTGGCAGTCCGATGGACGAATCTGTGTTTGGCGGATGCCAGGAGAACGCTACCCGCCCCAATGCATAGTGTCAACTGTAAAGTTTGGTGGAGGAGGAATAATGGTCTGGGGCTGTTTTTCATGTTTCGGGCTAGGCCCCTTAGTACCAGTGAAGGGAAATCTTAACGCTACATCATACAATGACATTCTAGACGATTCTGTGCTTTCAACTTTGTGGCAACAGTTTGGGGAAGGTTCTTTCCTGTTTCAGCATGACAATGCCCCCGTGCACAAAGCGAGGTCCATACAGAAATGGTTTGTCGAGATCAGTGTGGAAGAACTTGACTGGCCTGCACAGAGCCCTGACCTCAACCCCATCGAACACCTTTGGGAAGAATTGGACTGCCCAACCTCACTGATGCTCTTGTGGCTGAATGGAAGCAAGTCACCGCAGCAATGTTCCAACATCTAGTGGAAGGCTTTCCCAGAAGAGTGGAAGCTGTTATAGCAGCAAAGGGGGGCCAACTCCATGTTAATGCCCATGATTTTGGAATGAGATGTTCGACGAGCAGGTGTCCACATACTTTTGGTCATGTAGTGTATCTCAAGTTAAGATTCAGCCCAAAGTGTCCATCGCAACGTAATATGATTGCATTCATGTTCACACACTTATTTGCTTTACATAACATTCTCTGTGGGAATGAATGTATTATATTGATTTGATTATACTTCACAATATGCACATCTCTTTACAATCTAGGACCAGCCATAGTAATTACAGGAACACCTTATTTATTAATTTATTGTTTTCCTCATTAACAATATTAAAGTTAACTTCACAATAATGCCTTTAAGACCTATGTTGAGTTCTGTGTGAATGGGTCCTGACTTTGAGTGGATGAATAACCCATCATTTGTTATTATTTTTGATCAAGGACACGGGTACACTCTTAGAAAAAAAGGTTCCAAAAGGGTTATTCGGCTGTCCCCATAGGAGAACCCTTTTTGGTTCCAGGTCGAACCCTTTTGGGTTCCTTGTAGAGCCGTCTGTGGAATGGGTTCTACTTTTAACCCAAAAGGGTTCTACTTGGAACTAAAAGGGTTCTACCTGGAATTAAAAAAGGTTATTCAAAGGGTTATCCTATGATGACAGCCAAATAACCCCTTTAGGTTCTAGATAGCACCTTTTTTTCTGAGTGTAAGTTGTGGCTGGACACCACAACTGGTGGTGTATCATACATGTTTCACATGCTTATAATGTGACTATGAGGAACAGTTTTTGATACATTTGTTCTGACATTGGAGGTAATGATTTGTTGTACAACACTTGCAATTCCAGTGTGGTGACTATTGTGCCTTATGAAATACAACCATTGTCTACTATATTGACATTTTTGTACTGATCTGGTTGACTGTATTAATGTCCTTAAATCTTTTTAAAAACATAGTTGAGACATACCCAAAACAACTTACAAAGTGCATGTTCAAGATATTCAATAGAAAGATACAATTCACTTACAATAATTATTTTAAAAAGTTGAACTGATTACTTCACATACACTGTTATTACTGTGGCTGGTCTGTATTGTTGGTGATTTTCCCTTTGCTTTACTGGTAGCTGGCAGCATTATGGCTCATTGGACATTGCAACAGTCGATAGATACAGTATGTCATCCAACTGCACCCATAAGCATTTTCTTTTGCATCAAGACAATCTCATGCACGACCACATTGAACGTGTTTTTTTTACAGCATGGCAGTAAATGAGGCTCTCACATGATCAGTCTGTCTGCATGTCAGTTGTTGTTTGGTTTGCAAACTGGTCTCAATCCCATGCTCTGTGTTCTACTTGTTTCACCTGTCCCATATGTAAGTTTTATAGCTCTGTACAAAAATATTTCTATATGTGTGTGCGTGTGTGTGAGTGTGTCAGACAATGTTGTACATCCATCAATGAGTATTTTATTAATTTAAAATGTATCATATTGAACTGACAACTGCAACTTTTATTTGTCATTATTTAAGTTACCATTCATTTGTTTTACTTTCCCTAAATTGCTTTAAAGTTACAGGGTATTTCCAAGCGGACATGTACATATTGTACACATACAGTAGGTTTAATCTGGTCAGTGAGGCATTTCAACTCATAGGTAATTGATTGCCTTTAAAGAGGCTATACAGAAATGTTGCCTCTGGGCATGCTCCTGAACAAAAGGGGTCCCCTAAATCAGGGTTTCCCAAACTCGGTCCTAGGGGCCCCCCTGGGTACAGGTTTAGTTTTTTACCCTAACACTACACAGCTAATTAAAATAATCAAAGGTTGATGAGTTTGGGAAACCCTGCCCTAAATGGGCAAAAATAATATTTAGGTATTACCTCAATGGACAGAAAGAGGCACGCCTCCCCACACCCAGGCAAACCTACTACAATAAAACTTTTGATTAAGAATTTAACCAACATTAAGTGGAATTTTCAGAAGAATCAAAAGTTGTATCTTTTCATAACAACTTTTTCAGGTAAGTTCAGACAGATAAATCTGCCACTGTGACACTTTTTAAATGCTAAATCTCTCTCCACTTGTTTGTCCCATCTATTCCCTTTTCCGTTCCACATTTTCCCCCTTGTATGACCATTATTATACCAAACTCAACATAGATCCAAGTGGTGAAAGCATTCCGTAGCCCACTTTATGATGGCATTGAGAAGCCGGAATCCAAGAACTCCATCCACGACTTCATGGCACACCCGGAATTTCTCATCAATGACTTGGTCCACAACATCCCCTTGATTGACGAGACAGACATTGAAACCGAAGAATCCGAGCGCTCAGACTGCAACAACGTTCGCCTGGCTCTTCGTCAAGCTCCTTCCCTTGCCAAGCCCCCTCAGCCACCTCCTCGCCACCGCTCCGCCTCCCGCCCCGCCCCCTACCGCCAGCAGAGCCTCCCCGTTACACTCAACTGCAACAACAACGCCACTGCTGCTGCTGATGCTGAGAATGGAGATCATCTGACCCCAAAAGATGCAAGACTACCAGCTGCTTCTCTCTGCCGCCCCGCCAGCCCATTGCACAGCTTGGAGACCTGTTTATAACTACGATCTAGGGACATGGTTGATAAGAAGGGAGAGGAAACACCAATGACTTTGATGGACATGGATGTAACCCAACAAAGAGGGAATGAAGATGAACTGGACACGGAAAGAGAAAGTATTACCTGGAAATGACATTGTATAGACCAATGGTTTTATGGATTGTTTCGTTGCCCCACCTTTCCCCCCACAGCCACTGCTTTTAGCCTGCACAAATCCTCTCAGAAAGCTCCACAATCCAACGATGCTAACCCCACCAGACTCTGATAAAGACACTTTGGAAATGTATATCTAGGCACGCAATAGAGGAGTGATTGGTGTAGTAGAGACAAGAATGAACTGGAATTGATTATTTTCCTTTTGATTGAAATGATGAAAGACTCAATGGAAAGTGAAATGGGGTTAATTCATTCCGCTTTTTAACAATATTATTGTTCAAATTATTACTGTTGTTATTACTACTGCAATTACTACTACAATTATTATATTCCAGTTAATGATGCTTCATTGATTAGCTTTATCTATCCATGTATGTATGTATGATGTATGTTTGTATGTATTGTTTGTTCGCTTAACTGCTGTATTTGTCTCCTTGTATTCCTGTTTTTCTATACTCCTTCTGGTCATGTCCTTTTTTTTCCCTTTTCTGTGTTTACATGTGTTGTGTATGTCTTGAAAAAGAAAAAAAGAAATATAACTATACAAATACATTTATAAACACATACAACAACTTCAAAACACAAAAAGGTAACAAAATAGTACATCTGCTATTAAAACAAAGTCACAAATTAAAGTAGTACTCATGGTTTTGGTTCTTCTCTTCATGTAGATATGTCTTGAATTAAGTTATTCATTTGGACACCACCATGAACAGAGGGGACAACTTAACTGAGGATTCCAAATATTAAGTTGTGCATAAAGATTAAAGGAATTTATTTAAATGATTATTTTATTAATCCCTGTGTATTCTCTTTATTTTTGTTTTTGAATAGATCTCATAACACAAAATTAAAAGGAAATGATTACTTGATGTACTTTAGAATCTATCAAACAATATCAGAGTGTATTTTATGTATTTCTACCCGACTATGCTTTACTGCCGTCAACCGTGGTCACTAGTGACAGCTTTCACAGGGGCACAGATAGATATCAGAACAATATCCATTGAATATATCTTGACTTTTACATTTTACTTACGCTTCTACACTACATTGTTTTAAGAACATTATAGCTTTTTGAATGTTGCAAATAGGATGTCTCCCAGCTTTGTGGAGCACTTATTAAAGCCTTCTGAAAGTTTTTATGTCAGCAACCATGATAAATAATTCCTTATGTCACAGTGTATGTTCTTAGGGAGTGATGGGGTTACAATAGAAGTTGGACGACTGAGGTATCTGTAAGGTGTATTCAATTATTTTCTGATGTGAGCCACTATTGATACCAATGCTGTTTTGCAATAGTCTGCCAAGCTATTACTGTCAGCCCACAACATCCTAGGTAAGTGTAAAATCATGAACATTTATATTTTAGTAAACTTCCTCTTTAAACTCCAAGAGAACACAGTGTAACAGACCTACCAGAGCACTGTATGGCAGTATAATGACCAGGTGGTCGATTCCGCTTCACCTTGAAAACAACACAAACAGGATGACTGCCAAGGTATGATAAAATACTTTTTTAATACCTTAATCTGTGTTTTCCATATAACAAAACTCACATTGGTTTAATACTGGTCGGTGATTCAAACTTTACAGTAAAAAACAATCACTTAGAAGAATGGTATTGGTATTTTTCATTATAAACATAATAATACTAAATGGCCAATAGTGTTACCTTAAATTGTTTGGTACAAACTTGATAAAACATTCAATATTAAGCCAAAATGTAGATTATTTTTACTATTTGTTCGTATCTCTGTCTCTCTGTTCTTCATACTCAGTGTCTGTCTCAGGGCTGACTGTCCCAGAGCTGCTGTCGGAGCCGGGTGAGGTGGTTGTGTCGTAGCGTGCGCAGCTCTGTGAGTCTCCCCATCAGGCGAGCGAAGCGCTGGGCTCCCTGAGGGCCCTGGGCTCCACACCGGGCTCCACACACCCTGGAAAGAAGCTCCAGGGTCAGCTCCTGTAAGCTCTCCACACACGCCACCGCCCGCAGCAACACTTCGTCTGCTAACAGAGACAGATGACAGAACGACATAGAGTTGGTCGTCACCATCTAGCCAAGCTAGAGGAGATATTCAGACACTCTTGGAGGAAAATGTGTCTTTATCAACTAAACATCTTGTGTTATATGTATTTAAAATAAATTAACAAATACATTTAGCCTTTCATACAGTAATGTGTCAGGCATAGAGAGCCAGTCACCTGAGCATAGCAGTGCTGTAGCAGTGAGCAGGGCATATTCAGCCTCAGTCACTCCCAGTGCAGCCATGCTGTGGAAGAAGTTGAGCACCGGTCCTAGCAAGTCCTCATTGACTCCTGCACACAGACACACTAGCTAAGACTCAACATGGAAGGAAACAGGACAAAACCCCATTTCCCTTATTTCCCCACTGTACGCTTACTTCATTTTAACATCTTTAAATTTAGAAGTTTTAGCATATTTTCGACTCACCTGGGGTGTTGTGGTTTCATCCAAACAGTTTTTAAGTTAGTTAGTTTGTTATTTATCAAAGTCCAGATTCTCGGGCTAGGAGTTTTAAAGCCTGTAACAATACTAGTGGAAAATAGGCTAAAACATAAAATAAACTAAAACGATCTTATCCCTTTAACCTCTCTTCAAATAGTACTGTAAATAAAGCTCGTAATAGGGGATACTATGGTGGTGAGTATACTGTGTCTAGATAGGACAGTGTGACTTACCTGAGTTTACAGGGCCAGTCCCACTATGAATGTTTTCCTTGTACTCTAAGGTTTTCAGCCAATGATGAGTTGAGAGGTTGAAAGGTTGTAGTGCTTGTAAAATAAAATAAAACAATGAGCTCTCTGGCATAATCGGCCAGGTTCCATTTCCATCCCTAGCCCCTACCTCTTCAGTACACAGTAAATCAAGGAGAGTTGGCATCATAGTGTTCACTGGAGTTATCTTAACCCTCAACAGAGTGATTCGCTCCCTGGAGTAATAACTGGTGTTCATTTGGATGTGTACTTTTTACTTCATTAAGAATAACCAGAGACAGGGATTGATATCTATGGAGTATCCACAGCCCCCTTACACTTCTTTGGAGTAGGTAGCTTAGTGGTTAAGAGCGTTGTGCCAGTAACCGAAAGGTCACTGGTTCTAATCCCCGAGCCGACTAGGTGAAAAATCTGTCGATGTGCCCTTGAGCAAGGCACTTAACCCTAATTGCTCCTGTAAGTCGCTCTGGATAAGAGCGTCTGCTAAATGACTGAAATGAAATGAAATGAAATGAGTACACTGCAAGAAGTGTTATATTCACAGTGTTGAAGTTCTAGGTGTTCTCAAATATACTAATTCTTTACTCTGACAATCATTCTGAATGCAGGTTGACTGGTGATGAAAATATCAAATTGTTGGATAGCCTCGCTCTGAATGGATTCCAATAGGAACTAGACATCACTTAGCAAGCCAGCATAATGTGATCATTCACTCGAAAGGCACACCGGGAAATATGCAAATAAGGGTTTACACCCTACAGTGTTAAAAGGTAGTGAACTGCTAGAGTAATGTACTCTGATGGAGTTGGTTGTTAATTTAAAACACAGAAAGTGTGAAATGGCATGTAGTTACATTTAATCAACTCTAAGAGTTGAATGTGATTGGATATGTACTCTATTTAATTGATATGTACTCTATTTTTTTAATTTACCCCATGACCAGGGTGGTTTTCACTCAAAATGGGGGTGGAACCGTAAACCCCAAAATTGTGTTGAATGTTACTCCATGGGAGTTGAATTAACTCTTGCAATTTTACTGTGTAGCAGGCTGAAATGGAGCCAGGACAAATGAGTCAGACACCCGCAAACCTCATGGTGGTGTGGTGGTGTCAATACCTGGGCTAGAGTCTGCTGGGTTTTGGGTGAACTGCTGAGCTGAGAGCAGAAACATGACTTCCACAGAGGAACTAGAGAGGAGGGTGGTCTGGTCCGAGCAGTCCAGGAGCTCAAAGCCTACACGGACACCAGACACTAGATTAGTTAATACTGCAGGAGGTATCAGATGCAGAGTGACCACAGAGAGAGAAACAGGGCTGGTTTTGATATGAAAACATATGGTCAGGGAAAGCAACATGGTGTAAGCTTAGCAGGTATTTGCTTTCCATTTTACCTGTCGTTTATTCATATCAGTGCAGAAACAAGAAAGGAGAGGAAGCTTATGTATGAGGTGCGGCCCAACTGACCAGGTACACTCTTGGCAAACTGCAGCAGCCTCTGAGAGGGAGGGCATGCCATGTCCGTTAGTCTGTCTCCACCAACCTCTGTACAAGTCCAATCAAACACCTGCAGAAAAGAACTGCCTGAATAAGCTCTCAATGAGAAGGTAGAAAAATGACAACATAACTTTAAAATCTCAATCCATTGACAGCAGAATTACTATTCTAATCAGCGACCCACCCTACAGTGTGCAGTGTCCTGCGCCCTGTACTGCCGATGAGCCTCCACCATCCTGTCCAAAACAAGCTTCTGTTCTACTGACAAATTTGCAGACACCATCTGTTACAGGAAGAAATGCATTACAAACAGATAATTTGATTGCTGAGTGAAATTACCCCACTGGGCACAGATGTCAGTTCAACGTCTAGCTTTGATTTACATTTGGTGGAGTTGTAAAAAATTATTGGATTTAGGTTAAAAGTTGGGCGAAAAAAAATGAAATTCCCTTACGTTGATGACTTTTTGCAAATCCAATCTGGGGCGTATTCATTATGCCGATTCTGTTGCAAAATGTTTCTTAAACAGAAGCAAAAGAAACTAAACGGGGAGGGACCTACCTGAATTTGTCCAATAGAAACTCTTGTTTTGCTCTGTTTGCTTCCATTTGGTTCTTAAACAGTAAACGGTTTCTGTAATAAATATGCCCCAGTTTTCCACGCTGATTTATCATCATCACATTTAATGTTTTGGTTGTAATTAAGCGGAAACAACGTTGATTCAACCAGTGTTTGTCCAGTGGGACCATTCTGACTTGGAGTAGGGTCGTATTACAGGGCACCCCCATAAGAAATCAGTCAAAAGTGTTACAGACTATTGGTCCAGCCTACTATTAAGAGGCCTATGCAATGTCCGAAAAATTTGATCTGGGACATGCCCCCTGATGGTCCCAGAACTTAAACAGGAAATCCAAGAAAGTGATCTGGGAGAGGGCCACCTATGAACCAAAGTAAGTTAACTTGGGATTTGAGGAAGAGATCTGCGGTTCTCCATTGTTACAATCCATCCAACAAGATGATTATCCAAGGGTCTGTAACTATCTAGACCCTTGGATATTTGCTTGGGACAAATAATATGATCTTGGGGTATCTTTCAAAAACGCCAAGCTACAATGTCCTCCCCATTCAGAATATCCAAGAAAGTTAACACAATAGCGAAGGTCAGAAAACTAGATGAGAAGGTTTGAATGTAGGAGGAGAGGAGAAAGTGATGTACCTGTCCTGGTAACCTGCTGGTGGAGCTGACGCTCCTGCTCCCCATGTTCTCCTCCTCCTCAGGCCCTCCTCCTCTGTGCTTGGTCCCCTTCCTCAGCCTCTTGGATTGGCACTGCACCTCCGTCAGCAGACCTGGCAACACAATTGCCTCTGTCAGACTCACATAGGCAAACCTGGCAACACAACCGCCTCTGCCAGACTCACATAGGCAAATATATTATATTTATTTATCCTTTATTTACACAAGGGTATTGAGATCATACACATTTTTCCAAGGGATCCCTGTCCAAGGTATTTTGGTTGTCTTAGCAGTTAAATTAAGTCTGCCTGGCTATAAATTGGAGATATGGTCACTGGTCAAGATTCTTGATCTTATTGTTAGCTTACTCTGCCTCTCTTCAAATTATTGACATTGCTTTCAGTCAAATATAGTTTCAAATATCCCTACAGCCTTTTTGATATGGTATGTTCCCCTCACATTCGGCCAGCATGCCCACAGCACGACATTTCCGCAGGCGGCAGTCTTGGCACTTTCTCCGCATGTACATGTCCATCTCACAGCCTCCACCGCTTTTACACCGGTACACTGCTTTCTTCGTCACACTCCTTCGGAAGAAACCTGAAACACAGGAGTACAGTAATGATAGAGATTATGGGTTGGAGTAGCAACCACCTGTAGTTGGGGTCCATTTCAATTAAAGTTATTCCAGATAAAGACGTTTTTTAATTTAAATTCAAACCCCATATTCAGCCAGATATCGGAAGTAGCGGGCTCTGTGATAAAACTTTCAGGTTGACCCCCGAAATGTTGTTGTAAACTTTGACGAAAACACTGCCTCCCCTACCTTTGCAGCCTTCACAGGTGAGGGCGTTGTAGTGGTAGCCAGAGGCTTTGTCCCCACACACCACACACAGCTCATCCTGGCCCCTCACCCTTCCTCCCAGACCCAGCCTGGTCCTCTTGACCAGGGGCAGACCTCCCCCACCTTGCCCCTTCCCCAGGCCTCCACACTGGGGCTCTGGGCTGGGCTCGCAGGGAGTGTCCAGGCAGTGGGGGCTGTAGGGGTGGGTGTAGGGTGGGTGGAAGGGCTGGGAGGATGGAGGTCCGTAGACGGAGAACTGCACATTGATGGGGCTGTACTGCTGCTGGCTGAAGGATAGGCCCTGTAGGTCTGGCTCCTGGAAAGGGTAGCCCAAAGGGTCCCCCAGCACATCTGTGTGATGGGGAAACAACACAAAATAAATGGATTTGGTGTTTTGGTCCTGGACCCACCGGTTAAGTTTACGTGCCCCACAGGGGTGGACCTGGGAATGTCTAGTGGCTAGCCAAGAGGGTCCACCAGAGCCATTATCCCAGTCACACTAGTTTCAAGTCAAAGTGCATCACAAGAATGTGATCCTTGTCCACCATCTTATGTGATTCATGCATGTCTTTTATTGGTCCTGTGGGACGTAATAAAAAAATGTCTGAGCAAGACCTTGTGAATCAGTTTGGACTGTGGAAACAGGATGCAGCTGAGAGGTTACATGGTCATTTATGATTCAAATATTTTTTATAGAGTTTCATTCAGTATTTTATTGCCTCGTAGATTGGTGTCTGATGATGTCTTGTGAGCGTAGCGGGGGGGGGCGGTGGAGCTGTGAAGCATTTAGCAAATTCAAGTCCCGTCTCCACAGAGGGAACGTGTCACCACTGGTCACAGATCAGCCCTAACATCAGTCACTCTGATCAGAAGGATCCACTTCCATAAGCTGAGTCTCTTAGCGTTTTATTAGTTCAGATAGGAACTGAAATAGTGAAAGATTTCTTATTTTAAACACAAAATAATCTAATGATTAAGGTCCATCCTTTCTCAAAATGCATCAATACTACGGGATGTATAAGTTACATTGTACTCAGGCGCATATCGAGTGTCTTCATACAATATCAGCCTGAATAGTCATCCATAGCTATGAGCTCTTAAGATGTCTTGACATGTACTGAACACCACAATGACCTCTAGAATCCAACCTATGACCCTTCCTTTCTGAACAACAACACTCACCCTATCCTCAGCCACAACCCACCTCACCCCCTCTATTCTAGAACCTTGACTCTCTATTTTTCCTCCCCTCCATCCTTCTCTCTCTCCATCACCACTTTCCTCACTCATCCCGTCTCTCCTCTGCGTCTCCCAGATGTTTCCTGTCCTGGCGAGGATGGAGGCCAGTACTGAGCTTGTGCTTGCGTGACAACGCTGTGGTGAGCTCTGTTTGTAAACCGTTTCAGCCCTATGTAAACACCCTGGCCTCCCTCCCTCCGTCCCACGCACACTAACGCTACCCCCCATTATACAGCCATATCATATCCACCCCTCAGCCATGAGAGGAGAGGACCACAATCTGAAGAACCCTCATAATTAGGGTTAGGTCACAACACTCCACTGCAACCATTATAAATAGGCCCTCGTTCCAATGCAAATTCTTTGTTAGCTAACATCCTGTGTACTGGATATGTGGCAGGCTAGCAGCCCATTCTTGTAAGTATTTTTCCATTCAATTTCATTTTTTTATAAAGACAGTTGTTTAGAAATGTATAGGTTACACCCACACTGTGTGTATTCTTGCAAGTCTCCCCATCTAATCTACAGGCCTATGGCACTACAAATTTTAACAAAAAAGCAACACACAAACTAAAGCAGAACAAAGGAAGCATAAACATATAATGTAAATGAAATATAAATGTATAATCATGACATTTTGATTTGATTAGGTCATCACCATACAATTACAGAGTATGTATCAGGATACATTGTGTTTGGATCAGCACACCATCAAATCGGACTAGAGTTCAGATAAAAAGAGTCCCTCACCGTAGTACTGCAGAGGCTCGGTGATGCCGTATCCATCAGAGGCAGAGAGGTAACCCCCGGCAGACATGGTCATCTCCGACTCACTCCACTCTCTCATCTGGATAGCTGATACACAGTCAGTCTCTAGGAACACCCGTTTAATCTATCGACACACACACAGAGAATCACACATCTGAGGAATCTGCAACTCTCCAAACATTTCTTTATATCCATGCTGGCGACAGGTCTCCTCAGTCTCCTAGCTGTGATATCATTGCCTATTTTAAGCTACCCTCTGAGATGCAAAACTAAAGGTTACTGTTAGCCACAGTGGAGGCGTGCAGCTGAAGTCTGTGGCAGTGCGATGGATCTCTGCTCCTCTGGGAGGCATCAGGGGGAGACGAGGGACAGCGAGGAGTGTGTGAGAAGAAGAGAGAGATTGGACTCATGTCCAAACAGCTGTCCTGGCTGGGAGTTCAGAGGGAAGAGAGAGGTCCTGACGTATGGGGGCCTGTCCCTGGTGGGGAGCTCAGGTTTGGCCTGGGTGGATGGATCCCACCCCACCACGGACCAGGAGTTCACAGAGGGGGATCAATGAGTTAGCTGTAGCTGGCAACTCACCGCTATCTTGTCTCTGTACCAACAGAACTGGACATGACCTGTGGTCAATCTGTATTGTATTTATTATATTTTCCATAAACATCTTGATACCTTTAATACTCTTCCCCATCTACACTATGTACTATTAGTATGCTGTAGTTACTCTTCCTGGGTAGGTATTGTGTATGTGGGTGTGCACGCACAGCCGTATGCATGCTTGTTTGTTTGAGTGTGCATGTGAACACAAGAGTGTGTGCGTGTGCATGTGTATGAGTGTGTTGTGTGTGTGTCTGAGAGTAAATGTACGTGGATAAGTGTGTACGCAGTGGTGTAAAGTACTTAAGTAAAAATACTTTAAAGTAATACATAAGTCTTTTTGGGGGGGGGGGGTATCTGTACTTTACTTTGCTATATATATGTTTGGACAACTTTTACTTTTACTTCACTACATTCCTAAAGAAAATTATGTACTTTTTACTCCATACATTTTCCCTGACACACAAAAGTACACATTACATTTTGAATGCTTAGCAGTACAGCAAATGGTCCAATTTGCACAATTATCAAGAGAACATCCCTGGTCATCCCTACTGCCTCTGATCTGGTGGACTCACTAAACACAAATGCTTTGTTTTTAAATGATGTCTAAGTGTTGGCATGTGCCCCTGGCTATCCGTAAATAAAAAATACAAGAAAATTGTGCCGTCTTGTTTGCTTAATATAAGGAATTTTTAATTATTCGTACTTTTACTTTTACTTTTGATACTTAAGTATATTTAAAACCAAATACTTTTAGACTTTTACTCAAGTAGTATTTTACTGGGTGACTTTCACTTTTACTTGAGTCATTTTCTATTAAGGTATGTTAACTTTTACTCAAGTATGAGAATTTGAGTACTTTTTCCACCACTGTGTGTGTGTGGGTGTGTGTTGTGTGTGTGTGTGTTGTAAGAGTGTGTGTGACAGATAGCTCATCTTTGGAGCCCCCAGGGAGTGTTTACTCAGATTCTGTTTGCTTTGTTTGTGTTGCAGTTAATATTTGACACTAGGCAGGTTTTGAGTTTGGGAAATTCGAGTTGACTGGGTCGAGTCGAGCCCTGGCGAGAGAGAGAGAGAGACCCTAGATTTGCCCTAACCTCTCCCTGATGGGGTTTGACATGCAGCATGATTCTAGAGAACTAATGGTGTCCTTCCCACCCTGACCTCATTCCTCAACTGTCTAATTACACTGGCCTGTGTGTGAACCAAGCCGACCATCGAGCAGCATTTAATTAAATTATCTATCCCACGTGCTGAGCATCTATGCTGACAAAGCAGTGCAAATGACAAGGTACACTGTAGGTAGGATGCATATACAGTATGCACAAATGCATAACATGGAGTAATAACAGTGATCATAGTTATGGTGACTATTTAGTTATGTTTCACTAATTCATGATCGGGCATGCAGTCCTCTGTTCTTCTCTAATGGCTGATTCCACGCCAGGAAGGCCCAAAAATATTTTAGACCCTTTTTAGACCTATACATGCCTCTTGTAAGACTATATGATTCCTGAACTGCACATGATACAGACATCTTGGTGTTATTATGCTCTAAAATATGGAGTATGTCTAGATTCTGAAATAGAAATGTTCACATTACTTTATTCAACATAAAAAATATTAATATTAATATCTCAAAAGCACCCTTTTTGATTTAGCCCAAATTTTTTTTTACATATTGTTTGGAACAATATACTCTTCAAACACAGCAAATATCCAGAGTGGGGCCTCCCGAGTGTCGCAGCGGTCTAAGGCACTGCAGTGCTTGAGGTGTCACTACAGATTCGGGTTCGATCCCAGACTGTGTCACAGCCCGCAACGACTGGGAGACCCATGAGGCGACGCACAATTGGCCGGGTTAGGGAGTTTGGCCGGCTGGAATGTCCTTATCCCATCGCGCTCTAGCGACTCCTGTGGCGGCCAGGCGCATGCACGCTGACACTGTCGCCAGTTGTACGGTGTTTCCTCCAACACATTGGTGTGGCTGGCTTCCGGGTTAAGCGAGCAGTGCGGGGCAGGGTGGTGTTTCGGAGGACGCATGGCTCTCGACCTTTCCTGAGTCCGTACGGGAGTGGCAGCGATGGGACAAGACTGCAACTACCAATTGGATATCAAGAAAAAGGGGTTAAAAAAAATCCAGAGTAGGTGCTCTGCTACTTTTGAAGCAAACAAAGCAACCTCACATTAACATTGTGTCATTGTATGCTGATGATTCATGTTTTCTTTTAAATCCACAACTAGAATCCCTCCACAGCCTCATAGAGGATCTAGATACATTTTCTAACCTCTCTGGATTACAACCAAATTATGATAAATGTACTATATTACTTATTGGATCACTAAAAAATAAAAATTTTACATTACCATGTAGTTTACCAATAAAATGGTCTGATGGTGATGCGGATGTACTCGGAATACATATCCCAAATGAAATAAATTATCTCACTCCAATAAATTTTAATAGAAAGTTAGCAAAAATAGATAAGATCTTGCAACCATGGAAAGGTAAATACCTGTAAATTTGTGGAAAAATCACCCTGATTAACTCTTTAGTATTATCCCAGTTTACCTATTTGCTTATTTGCCTACGCCTAGCGAACAGTTTTTTTAATTATATGAGAAAAATATGTTCCATTTTATTTTGAACAGCAAGCCAAACAAAATTAAACGGGCCTATTTACATAATGAATATGAATTCGGAGGACAGAAATGATTAAATATTAAAGCATTAGACCTATCACTAAAAGCTTCAGTCATACAAAAGTTATACTTAAATCCGAACTGGTTCTCTAGTAAATTAGTAAGATTGTCTCACCCAATATTCAAGAATGGCCTTTTTCCCTTTATTCAAATTATAAACTCTCACTTTCAGTTATTTGAAAAGGAAATAATCTCCCAAATATTACTATTTCTAAAACAACCCATAGAAAGTTGGTTGCAATTTCAATTTAATCCTCCAGAAAAGGCAGAACAAATCATGCAACAAATATTGTGGTTAAACTCTATACTAATTGTAAAAAAAAAATTGTTTTTTTTAAACAATGTTTAAAAAAGGTATAATCTTCATAGATGATATCATAGGTAGGACTGGTGGAGTTATGTTGCAAATGCAGCTAACAAAAACATATGGAAATGTCTGCTCTACCCAAAATTACAACCAAATAATTGCAGCATTACCGCAAAAATGGACGAGGAAAGTGGAAGGGGGAAAAAGTAAGGAACTTGTCTGTCGGCCATGCATTAAAGAACATAATTGGTTAAAGAAAATTGTGATAAATAAAAAAGTATACCAGTTTCATTTAAGGACCAAAGGATTGCCAGTCGTCCCATAAACAGTGAGGGAAAAAAGTATTTGATCCCCTACTGATTTTGTACGTTTGCCCACTGACAAATAAATTATCAGTCTATAATTTTAATGGTATGTTTATTTGAACAGTGAGAGACAGAATAACAACAAAAAAATCCAGAAAAACGCATGTAAAAAATGTTATAAATTGATTTGCATTTTAATGAGGGAAATAAGTATTTGACCCCCTCTCAATCAGAAAGATTTCTGCCTCCCAGGTGTCTTTTATACAGGTAACGAGCTGAGATTAGGAGCGCACTCTTAAAGGGAGTGCTCCTAATCTCAACTTGTTACCTGTATAAAAGACACCTGTCCACAGAAGCAATCAATCAAACAGATTCCAAACTCTCCACCATGGCCAAGACCAAAGAGCTCTCCAAGGATGTCAGGGACAAGATTGTAGACCTACACAAGGCTGGAATGGGCTACAAGATCATCGCCAAGCAGCTTGGTGAGAAGGTGACAACAGTTGATGCGATTATTCGCAAATGGAAGAAACACAAAAGAACTGTCAATCTCCCTCGGCCTAGGGCTCCATGCAAGATCTCACCTTGTGGAGTTGCAATGATCATGAGAACGGTGAGGAATCAGCCCAGAACTACACGGGAGGATCCTGTCAACGATCTCAAGGCAGCTGGGACCATAGTAACCAAGAAAACAATTGGTAACACACTACGCCGTGAAGGACTGAAATCCTGCAGCGCCCGCAAGGTCCCCCTGCTCAAGAAAGCACATATACAGGGCCGTCTGAAGTTTGCCAATGAACATCTGAATGATTCAGAGGAGAACTGAGTGAAAGTGTTGTGGTCAGATGAGACCAAAATCAAGCTCTTTGGCATCAACTCAACTCGCCGTGTTTGGAGGAGGAGGAATGCTGCCTATGACCCCAAGAACACCATCCCCACCGTAAAACATGGAGGTGGAAACATTATGCTTTGGGGGTGTTTTTCTGCTAAGGGGACAGGACAACTTCACCGCATCAAAGGGACGATGGACGGGGCCATGTACCGTCAAATCTTGGGTGAGAACCTCCTTCCCTCAGGCAGGGCATTGAAAATGGGTTGTGGATGGGTATTCCAGCATGACAATGACCCAAAACACATGGCCAAGGCAACAAAGGAGTGGCTCAAAAAGAAGCACATTAAGGTCCTGGAGTGGCCTAGCCAGTCTCCAGACCTTAATCCCATAGACAATCTGTGGAGGGAGCTGAAGGTTCGAGTTGCCAAACGTCAGCCTCGAAACCTTAATGACTTGGAGAAGATCTGCAAAGAGGAGTGGAACAAAATCCCTCCTGAGATGTGTGCAAACCTGGTGGCCAACTACAAGAAACGTCTGACCTCTGTGATTGCCAACAAGGGTTTTGCCACCAAGTACTAAGTAATGTTTTGCAGAGGGGTCAAATACTTATTTCCCTCATTAAAATGCAAATCAATTTATAACATTTTTGACATACTTTTTTCCCTCACTGTAGATTGCAAAATAGTTGGGAAGAGATTTTTGACGTACCGATTCCATGGCATAGTGTTTATGAACTGATACGCAAAATGACGCCGGTTTCAAAACTTAGAATTTTTCAATTTCAATTATTATACAAAATTCTTGCTACCATAGAATGCTATTTATATGGGGGATACAATCTTCCCAGCTCTGCAGATTTTGCTGCGAAAAGACAGAATCTTTAGATCATTTGTTTTGGTACTGTCCATTTGTAGCTTGTTTTTGGACACAGGTCCAGGAATGGCTAAAGGATTGCAATATTTACCTGGAGCTAACCCTGCATGCAGATAGCACTACTGGGTGATCTGAAAAGAAAGAAAAGCAATTTGTTTGTCCATTAAAATAACATCAAATTGATCAGAAATACAGTGTAGACATTGTTAATGTTGTAAATGGCTATTGTAGCTGGAAACGGCATATTTTTAATGGAATATCTACATAGGCGTACAGAGGCCCATTATCAGCAACCATCAGTCCTGTGTACCAATGGCACGTTGTGTTTGCTAATCCAAGTTTATCATTTTAAAAGGCTAATTGATCATTAGAAAACCCTTTTGCAATTATGTTAGCACAGCTGAAAACTGTTGTGCTGATTAAAGAAGCAATAAAACGGGCCTTCTTGAGACTAGTTGAGTATCTGGAGCTAAAAATCAGCCGTTTCCAGCTACAATAGCCATTTACAACATTAACAATGTCTACACTGTGATCAATTTGATGTTATTTTAATGGACAAAAAAATTGCTTTTGAACGTTAGTGTGTATATATATATATATATATATATATATATATATATATATATATATATATATATATATATATATATTTGCGAGAAAAAAACCATATGGGGGATTGGAAGTGATGTACACAATTACATTGATGGAAGTTACAATCTATCTGCAATATTAAAGCTGATCTACCCCCTAAAAAAAACTTTAAAAAACATTGTGTCATCTTTGGATCCATCTAATCTCACTCTATCTGATACCTAGGCACAACTGACTAGCTAAGTTCCCTGATTGAGAGAAATGCCAAATACATTATGTCATTATTACATTTGTTTGATTCTCTTTGTCATTGTACAATTACATTAACAAATCCCAGGAGAGGCTTCTGTTGTTATATTCCTCTGTCATGTATACTGTTGCATTAGTTATGTCTTCACATATCCGTCAAAACAAGCCCTTGCTATGCCTTATACTGTACTCTACCTCCAAGATAGTGAGAGAGCACGATAATGAAGGGAACGCGTACACGAGAGTGGATGTGGCTGCGCATTCATTCATTTCCCTGATCACAATGAGTGATGGGAACAATTTCTTGGAGTGTATACATGTGGCCATGGATCTTCTAGTGTGGCCCAGTTGTCACTTTGTTGGACAAGGGCCTGAGCATGTTGCACATCCCCAAGGGAAGCTTTCTGGAGGAGGAGGAGGAGGAGGAGGAGGAGGAGGAGGAGGAGGAGTACGGGGAGGAGGAGGAGGAGGAGGAGGAGAGGGGTAAGGGTGGGATAAACACATTACCCTTGATTCACTCGACGTTTGGACTGAAGGCTGTAAGCACACAATAAATCTCTCTCTTTCTCTAAACCTCCAGCACATCTTCCCAGCTTGGCTCTTTATCGCTGCACGCTGTTTGCTGGTAGCCAGACTCAGATAGCACAGTGTTTACTGATTTAAACAGGAAACTGACACTTAGATTAGGGTGGCCTTGCAGGGAGGGCCAGGGGATGGATTTGTGGTTAAAGTCCAGTGCTAAAATAGGGGGGGGGATTTACAGCACATGATTTGTAAATACTTGTAAATACTCTAAATGTTACTACAGTTAATGCGCATTGACTAGACTGTTGTGAAATGTAAAAAGGAACATACAGTGGCTTGCGAAAGTATTCACCCCCCTTGGCATTTTTCCTATTTTGTTGTCTTACAACTTCGAATTAAAATTGATTTTTGGGGGGTTCGTATCATTTGATTTACACAACATGCCTACCACTTTGAAAATGCAAAATCTTTTTTATTGTGAAACAAACATGAAATAAGACAAAAAAACTGAAAACTTGAGCGTGCATAACTGGGGCCTTTCAGAACAGGTGTATACAGTGGGGAGAACAAGTATTTGATACACTGCCGATTTTGCAGGTTTTCCTACTTACAAAGCATGTAGAGGTCTGTAATTTTTATCATAGGTACACTTCAACTGTGAGAGACGTAATCTAAAACAAAAATCCAGAAAATCACATTGTATGATTTTTAAGTAATTAATTTGCATTTTATTGCATGACATAAGTATTTGATACATCAGAAAAGCAGAACTTAATATTTGGTACAGAAACCTTTGTTTGCAATTACAGAGATCATATGTTTCCTGTAGGTCTTGACCAGGTTTGCACACACTGCAGCAGGGATTTTGGCCCACTCCTCCATACAGACCTTCTCCAGATCCTTCAGGTTTCGGGGCTGTCGCTGGACAATACGGACTTTCAGCTCCCTCCAAAGATTTTCTGTTGGGTTCAGGTCTGGAGACTGGCTAGGCCACTCCAGGACCTTGAGATGCTTCTTACGGAGCCACTCCTTAGTTGCCCTGGCTGTGTGTTTTGGGTCGTTGTCATGCTGGAAGACCCAGCCACGACCCATCTTCATGCTCTTACTGAGGGAAGGAGGTTGTTGGCCAAGATCTCGCGATACATGGCCCCATCCATCCTCCCCTCAATACGGTGCAGTCGTCCTGCCCCTTTGCAGAAAAGCATCCCCAAAGAATGATGTTTCCACCTCCATGCTTCACAGTTGGGATGGTGTTCTTGAGGTTATACTCATCCTTCTTCTTCCTCCAAACACAGCGAGTGGAGTTTAGACCAAAAAGCTCAATTTTTGTCTCATCAGACCACATTACCTTCTCCCATTCCTCCTCTGGATCATCCAGATGGTCATTGGCAAACTTCAGACAGGCCTGGACACGCGCTGGCTTGAGCAGGGGGACCTTGCGTGCGCTGCAGGATTTTAATCCATGACGGCGTAGTGTGTTACTAATGGTTTTCTTTGAGACTGTGGTCCCAGCTCTCTTCAGGTCATTGACCAGGTCCTGCCGTGTAGTTCTGGGCTGATCCCTCACCTTCCTCATGATCATTGATGCCCCACGAGGTGAGATCTTGCATGGAGCCCCAGACCGAGGGTGATTGACCGTCATCTTGAACTTCTTCCATTTTCTAATAATTGAGCCAACAGTTGTTGCCTTCTCACCAAGCTGCTTGCCTATTGTCCTGTAGCCCATCCCAGCCTTGTGCAGGTCTACAATTTTATCCCTGATGTCCTTACACAGCTCTCTGGTCTTGGCCATTGTGGAGAGGTTGGAGTCTGTTTGATTGAGTGTGTGGACAGGTGTCTTTTATACAGGTAATGAGTTCAAACAGGTGCAGTTAATACAGGTAATGAGTGGGGAACAGGAGGGCTTCTTAAAGAAAAACTTACAGGTCTGTGAGAGCCGGAATTCTTACTGGTTGGTAGGTGATCAAATACTTATGTCATGCAATAAAATGCAAATTAATTACTTAAAAATCATACAATGTGATTTTCTGGATTTTTTTTAGATTCCGTCTCTCACAGTTGAAGTGTACCTATGATAAAAATTACAGACCTCTACATGCTTTGTAAGTAGGAAAATCTGCAAAATTGGCAGTGTATCAAATACTTGTTCTCCCCACTGTATATACTGAGATCATGTGACAGATCATGTGACACTTAGATTGCACACAGGTGGACTTTATTTAACTAATTCTGTGACTTCTGAAGGTAATTGGTTGCACCAGATCTTATTTAGGGGCTTCATAGCAAAGGGGGTGAATACATATGCACGCACCTCTTTTCCGTAATAAAAAAAAAATAATTTAAACAAGTTATTTTTTCCATTTCACTTCACCAATTTGGACTATTTTGTGTATGTCCATTACATGAAATCCAAATAAAAATCAATTTAAATTACAGGTTGTAATGCAACAAAATAGGAAAAACGCCAAGGGGGATGAATACTTTTGCAATGCACTGTAAATGCCTGCTTAGGACATTACATGTTCACCCTAACTAGATCCAAACAGTTTATAATAGATTCTGAACATACTAACATAATATTCACAATGAAAGTCTTTGATTTCAGCTAAATGTAGGGCACTGTTGTCGTTTTAGAAAGCTTGAGCCATTTCCTCTATAGTACAACTGCCGTTTTCAGAAACGTTTCTCTCTCAAATGGATTCCACAGAATCAAGATTTTAGTCCCCCCCCCCCCCCCCCCCCCCCCTACGTACTGTAGATGCAAGCCCACCAACTTAATTTTCCTTATCCATTACTTGTTTGTAACATTAGGTCTTAAAAACTTTCACAAACAAGTTTGGATACTGTTGTCATGACTGAACGGACACAGAATCAAGTCAAAACACTGGCTCGACATTGTGGCAAAAATCTTTTAAAAAGTCAAAGTGTAACCACCAAACCTCTCTAACCTATCCTATTTCAGTTCCTCAATGCGTGCATCACTAATGTGTAAAACAAATCTGTAGACTTAGTTGTTAATAAATCATTAGAGAATTCATCAAGACTTAGTTGGAGTTGATTAGCCTTCCAAAGCACACTGTTAAAACTTCTTAAATCTCTGTTTCTCTGTAAGTCTGTAAGATAAGATGCACTATGGCGCCTTAGCACTTCATCCATCAGGTAGCAGGTTACTCAGGAGAAGTACGACAGCTAAACCTCTTCACATTAACAAGACATCACATTCTAGTGGAGTTGGGGAACATGATGGTAAAACACATTTTTTCAAATACACAGTCCATAGCAGAGTTTGAATAACAGATCATATTGAAATAAAAACCTTTTTAACAGGTCAGAAAATTATAAATATACTCCCCATCGAGTAAAATGTATTAAAAAGAGTGATATGAGCTCACCAGTGGGTCTTCTCCTCGTGTGTTGACTTATGATAGCCTCTTGATTTTTCCTCCCCTTACATTTGTAATGTTGACTGCAGTCCAGCCTCTGGCATCCTACACTTGCCAAACATGAACATGCACTCGTACAAACACACACGCTCGCACACGCTCTCACACACACAGACACACACACACACAAAGTACAAACAATAACTTTCCCTCTCAATCAAGAGGCAGTCACTCACTCATGCACATGACCTTGCTTAGGACACAACATCAGAAACATTGTATGAGGTGGATTAGGGTATTAGATACCATGGATGTCTTTCAAGAAGACAAGGGGCTCTCAGAGTAGATTTTGCACAGGTATCTATGCAATATGTTATTATAGTGGTCCTTTGTAGCTCAGTTGGTCGAGCATGGCACTTGTAACGCCAGGGTAGTTGGTTTGATTCCCGGGACCATCCATACGTAAAATGACGCTTTGGATAAAAGCGTCTGCTAAATAAATGGCATATATAGTGTATAAGGTTATTATATAGACTGTGTAATGTATGCGATTATTTTACCAAATATGATCAGTCATTTATTGAACGGAATAATGCCTGCAAAGAAATATAGACACCTACTACTGTGCTGTGCTACAAAGGTCACTGTAGGCAAACCTTACAATTTAGATCAAGTGAAAGCATCACACTTTCCTGAGAGGATGCACACCTTGCTTTGGCCTACTCCATGAGGTGAAATCTTAAACATTAGTTGATACCTCCCTCAATTAATTGCATTATGTAAAACTAGAGAGCATAGAGGGATATATATGAAGTATGCGGAGCACCCAGGATGCAGAGCGGAGGGGAATGTGTGTGATGGTGTGGGCTCTGGCCCTGCAGTGAGAGAGAGCAGGCTCATTAAGACATTCCCAGCATTGTGTGTTTATAAACAGCCTCTTGTTCATCCTGGTGATGGATGATGGCCCGCTATCACTGGCTCTTCCTGCTGCCCTCCGTAAGAAGCCCTGGGACTGCCTAGGAACACAACCTCTTTGCCACTGTTTCACAACCGACTACAACTACACGCACACACACACTCCTACTCCCTTACTGTCACTGCATGAGATCAGCCCCCCACAGGGTTCATCTCCTTATAGAACCCATCGGGATAGTTTTGTTCTGACCTTTCCTCCCTCGCTGGGTGGGCCCTCAATGTCACTTATATGTGTGTACGTTTATGAGGGAGAATGTGTGTGTGTGTGTGTGTGTGTGTGTGTGTGTGTGTGTGTGTGTGTGTGTGTGTGTGTGTGTGTGTGTGTGTGTGTGTGTGTGTGTGTGTGTGTGTGTGTGTGTGTGTGTGTGTGTGTGTGTGTGTGTGTGTGTGTGTGTGTGTGTGTGTGTGTGTGTGTGTGTGTGAGTGAGAGGAGGGTTTCTCAGGGTCAGAATTCCATAACTAGTTTTTTTTCAATAACAGGACAGTAATAACAATAACTGCACTAATGAAGAGAAACAACA